CCCCAGCTCTGCTAGATAGTGGGGTGTATATACAAAATTAAAATAAAATGTCACTGCATTTTTCTTGGATATAGTCACTGACAGTTTTTTTATTCTTTTATTAAATACAACATGCCGAAATTTTCTTCTTTTGCTACCTATAAACTTTCACCTTTGCTGTATATTTGCTGTAAATTGTTAGCATTCAAAGGGTATAGTCCCCAGTTAAGAAGTTGCGAATGAACCAACGTGAAATTTTGCTTTGATATTCCTCTTATAATAATTGGAAGTTTAAATGTGCTTGGAAAACACATGACAATTTTCTGTTTTAAATTTATCTGGACGGCCACAGGCAACTGGAAGGGCGTCTCCAGATCCAGGTCGAAATTTCGGGGGGAGATGGGTAGCATTGCCTATATTAATTCCCTTTTTAGCATATTTTTTAATAAAAGGCTCATGGAAAGGAAAAACCTTACTCTAGTGGGGATAACCCCCTGGAACCTTCCACTAGAGTCGTCCTTGGGCCACTTCTGACTAACCTCTGGTTGTCCAGAAAAGCAAAAAACAATGTCTTCTTTAAATCTTTTGCTTGGATTGTTGTTGTTACTTCCGTAAATTGTATGCCACATTTTTTTTAATGTTTTTCACTTACAAAGAACGAAGTTTACAACATATTATAATACAAATATCTGCTTAAAATGTTATAAATCACTTTAAATGACTCACAAATCACTGCAACGTGCATCTGTCATATGATATTTACTTTGCGCCAATTCTACTAACTCTACGCATGACGTCAGCACCGCCATGGCACCATGCGCGATATCCCTCCCTGTTTATTAAGGTTGACTCCAATGACGTAAATATTAGATTACTCTACAATAAGCCTTAGAGTAGAATAAGGCCCCTACAATAGTCAACTGGTTCTTTCACTCCCAGTGCAACTGGTAGCTGACCTTTCTATTCGGGTACAGCAGATAGAGTTCTCACGTTTTTCCAGGAAATGGATCACCTCTTTGCTTTTGGTTTATTCTTGCTAGCATATGTAATCTGTTCAAGTTCATCAGTGTCCGAGTCGTCAGCAAAACTGTCAGATGAATCTGAAGTAGGAACAAACTGTTCTTCATCCTCATCACTTTGTGCTGCCAAGTCATCTTCACTCTCATCTACGGGCTCGGCAATGGTTATTTTTTTACGTCCATAAAATATAGCAGGATCCATTTTATTTTTCTATAAAATATAACAGCCGAATAGATGATCTGCATAAACATGAATAATCAGTAACTAAGAGGTACCTCGTTATATTCAAAAGGCAACCACATGGTTTCGGTTTTGTATATTTTTGTACACTGTTACTTTAAAGACACAAACATTTAATTAGCTGTAATTTTGTTATAATTTCCTTAAAAATATCATTTATCCAAACTATATAACCTTTACTTACATATAAAAGAGAAAATATTTTTCAAAACTTTTTAATTTTTGTATAAATCTGTCAAAAAGCAAATAAACAGCATACTCACTAGTCACATCCTAGTCACATCCTATAACATGAAATAACTTAAAGATTGTACTATTTCATCATAAAGGCGCGAAAATAATTTCTTTACAATATAAATGGGAATGTTAGGGTTACCGACATAATCCCCGGCGCAGAATCCCCGGCGACAAAACCCCCGCCAACAAAACCCCCGCCGACAAAAACCCTGCGACAAAATGCCTGGCGCGACAAAATCCCCGGGGACAAAATTTCTGGAAAATAAAATCCCCGGAAACTAAAATTCCCGGCGACAAAATCCCAGTAAAAAAATCCCTTGAATAAAAATATATCCCTTGGATACAAAAAAATAATTACTTAAAATACCATAAACTCGCACAACTCAGAAATTTTATTCTAACAATAAACTCATGAATTCCAATATCGATCATAAATTCAAATTTATGAATAATTATCTTAATAACGAAGCTGAAAATCTTATATGTACACATTACAATAAGAAATATAATCACAAATTTTGGGCAACACCATGGAGGAACAATAACTTGTCGTTGCAATCAAAAACTTGCACCAATACTGACAAGCGGTTTTACATTTGTTCCAATTTTCTTTTCCTACTTACAGTTTCACCTGCATGAATAGCAGTTATCACATTTTCCTGATTTGAAACTTAATAAATTATTATTTTTTGATTTATTTTGAGTTATTTTTGGCGCGGATAATCGTGAAAATTGTTTTGTGAAAGGCCGAGTATATCGGGCATAAGCATGCTTTATTATGTTTTGAAACTTAATTGAATATTTTTCGATTGTTTTGCGTTGTTTTTTGGCACGGGTATTTTGTGACGTCGGGGATTTTATCCCCGGGAATTTTGCCACCGGCGATTCTTGTTTCCGGAGGTTTGGTCGTCGGTCATTTTGTTCCCGGGGGTTTGTCCCGGGGATTTGGTCGCGGGGATTTGGTCCCGGGGATTTGGTCGCCGGGGTTTTTTGGCTGGCACCCGGAATGTTACTTTGAAGCAACATTGTGCCATAGAGGGTTAATTTTGTGATGCGTTTGAAGTATTAAATATTAAATAGTATTTCTTATTAACAAACTCCACGCCAGTTTGTTAATGTTTTTGCTGTATTTAGCGTTACTGCTTACTTAAATCTATCTCAAATATGTATAAGTATAAAAAGTGAATTTCCTTAAAATATCACTTACAGGGTGTCCCAATGAACTATTGAGACCGCGCACTTTTTATTGGGACACCGTGTATAAATTCTAAATCTTCTGACTTTTTAGCTACTTTCAAAAATGTCCGTTCCGCTACCAATTAGAATATACTTAATTTAATCTGGTCGAATTTTCAGATTCCTAAATCGTTATTCTTCATTTTGTCAATCAGTCAGTTGTCATTAAAAGGTTTTTTATTTAGATTCAGCTCAACTAGAATTTTTCATAGGTAATTATGATAAACGATGATAAAATTCCGCAGAGTTTTTTCCTTTTCGAAAATATCACAGCAGCCTAGTCGATTTTTAATACTTTTTATATTTATGTATTGTTTTTATTAATAATACAATTTTGTTTAAATTATTATTTGCTTAGTTTGTAAGATGTAAAAAAGTAATTGGACATTCCTGTACATTTTAACTTTTTTTTTTATTTACGCATTCTTTCTAAACTTGTAGAAAAAATTGTTTCTATTGTAGTTTTAGAAATTTTATGTAATGTTTTTTTGTTATATTTATGAGTAATAAAAAAAATGTGACTAATAAAACATTTGAACTTTGTTTTTTTTATGCTGTTACTGAAGGCAAACCTGAATACCAGTTGTAGTCAACAAGAGGACTGGAACTCGTTCCACAACCCCAACATTTTACGCAAGGCGTTCAAAAATCTTCACGGAAATTAAATGAGTTATATGTGACTCTCGTTATAAAACCTTGGTTAATTTACTCTAGTGTACAACTTTTTACCGGACTGTAGAGTACGGTTAATATAGGGGTGGGCAAAATAATCGAGTAGTCGATTATTTTTTTAAATCGATCATTTTCGAATAATCGATTATTTTTGAGTAATCGATTATTTTCGATAATAAATAATACAGAATTTCGTGTTAAAAAACGGAAATTCCTCCCGTATTTAAACACAGTTTTCCGTATTAAAATACAGGATTTCTTTGTTTGAAAACGAAAATTTATCCCCTATTTAAACACGAAATTCCCAATTAAAATAAAGAATTCCGTGTTCGAACTAAGAATTCAGTACGTATGTATGCAGAGACACATGAATTCCGTATTCGAACAACGAGATCCATATTCAAACACGGAATTTAGTATACAAACACGCAATTTATTATTCCAATACGGAATACCAAATTCAAACATGAAATTCCTTTTTAAACAAGAAGTTCCGCATTTTTACAAGGACTTCCGTACAAAAACATGGATTTCCGTCTACAAACAGGGAATTTATTATTTAATTGTTCCAATACGAAATATCGTGTTCGAACCCGGAAATTTCTTTTTCAAAGACGAATTCCGTATATAAGGAAGACATTTCGTATTTTTACACGGAATTCACTATACATACACATAATTTCCATATTCGAACACAGAATTCCGCATTTGAACACGAACTTCAGCATTTAAACACGGAATTCCGCATACAAATATGAAATTCTATATAAAAAAAGGATGAAATTTCACATTTCCTTATTCAAAAATGGAATTCCTGATACAAACAGGAAATTCCGTATCTAAAAACGGAATTTCCTGATACAAACAGGAAATTCCGTATCTAAACACGGAATTACAGCGTTTAGACAAAGAAATTTCATATTCAAAGACGGAATTTTATATTTCAACATGTTATTCCGTAAGCAAACAGCAAATTTCGTATAAAAAACGGAATTCCGTATAAAAACAAATGTCCGTACACCAACACGGAGTTCCATATTTCCTTGTTCCAACGGAATTTACTGTTCGAACACGGAAATTCTTTCCGTACTAAAATACAAAATTTCCGTTTTGGAACCCGGAATTCCGTATATAGTCATGGAATTCCATATACCAATACTGAATTTCATATTTAATTGTTCCATTAAGGAATACCGTGTTCGAACATGGAAATTCCTTTTTAAAACACGAAATTCCAAATCCATCTTCCCATCTTTTGAAAACATGCTTAAAATTGGAAGGTGTTGAAAAATAAATCTAGATTCTAGATTAATCAAAATTCAATACACCTTCAAATACAATAGCCATTTTAATTTCTCTTTTGAAGTTTTGACGAGCTGACAATTGACATGACATTTCGATACGAGCGCCATCCCGTTAATTGGAGTGGTACTAAATTACCAACCTCATGTTTTTCCATTTGAGTTACCAGCCCCTGGCGCAAACTAACAAACCTTCAAAAACCGTTTTCCTAAACTGTCAACTTCCTACTAATTATGCAACCAAAAATACACGTCTTTGTTTTTGTCAAAGAGAAGAGGTTAGAAAATAATGTTCTTGTTTACATAAATATGGTGTCATATACACATCATTCCAAGTTCAAGTGGGTGTACCATAGATAAATAAGAGAATACCGAAAATATCAACTTTTATTAATGATATTTTATGATTTTTACGAATAGCATACGATCATTTGTTGGTATAATGACCAAGAGGCAACTTTTACTGCTGTCATCTTCAAGAGTACATGGTCATGAATATTTAGAATTCGCACAAGATGATATTTGTGACCTTTTAAATCTGTAAGTACTTAATTTATGAACTAAAATATACGAAAATATCGAATAATCATTTCAGAAACAAAGTATCTACGATCCTTTTCATTCCTTATGCTTTAAAAGACCATGACGCATATGTGAAAACTGTTGAAAAACCTTTTAAAAAGTGGGGTAAGCTTTAATTATTATTAATTATTTTTTATTTATTTATAATATTTAAGGTTTTGAAGTAATTGGTATACACACTACAAACCCTCTAGAAGCTGTAAACAAAGCAGAAGCAATTTTCATAGGTGGAGGCAATACGTTTCGCCTTTTAAAAACTTTGTATGACTTAAATTTAGTAAAAGCTATTAGAAAACGCGTCACGGAACAAGGAATTCCATATATCGGAGCCAGTGCAGGTACAAACGTGGCTACAGTGAGCATTAACACTACCAATGATATGCCAATTGTATATCCACCTTCATTTAAAGCCCTTGAATTGGTACCTTTCAACATAAATCCTCACTATGTAGATCCTGATCTTAATTCGACTCATAAAGGGGAAACTAGAGAAGAACGAATAATGCAGTATCACGAGGAAGATGAATCTTACACTGTTTTAGGGCTGAGGGAGGGTTCTTTGTTGTCTGTAGAAGGAAATGTTGCTATTTTAAAAGGAGTAACAGGAGCAAGATTATTTGTTAAGTAAGTTAATCAACAAATAACAAATTGTTAATTAAAAATTTGATGTTTGAACTTTTTATTTTTAGGGATAAAGAACCAGAAGAATTTAAAGTGGGAAGTAACTTAAGCCATTTACTTAAAGGAAATTAACAATTTATGTAAAAATAAACGTTTTAAAGTATTAAAAACACGTTTTCTTGTTAAATTGATTCATCAAAATTGAAATAACCACTTTAACTTTCAATCAATTATTTTTCAATTCTTCCTTTTTTTTCTCATTATAAAAAGAAGAGAAGTGGTCTTGTAGTTTTCATCCTTCCTCCATGGTTTTCAAATTGTCTAGCCACATCTTGAAGTTAAAGTTTTCGTTGTTGCTCTTTAAAAATTGTAACTTTGTTCTAGTTTTTCAAAAATAGTTGAAAAATATCCGAGGGCTACATAGTTGACTAGGGGAAAAGATCAAAAGTTTCGGAGGTGACGAATTCTTATACTGGATCTCGGACGGTTTCCAACAAATTTTTGAAGTAATTAGAACGAATCTCCCTTCAGCATTTTTTTTACTCATCTCTAAAGTGTTTTTATTTTATAAATCTCCATGCTCCCAAATTTCAGATAAAATATAAATAAAAACATTCGATCATGTGATCGAATATAAAAACCGTTGTATGAAGATAATATAGTAGGATAATGCAACAGTAAAAAGTGTTGGATGCAATCTCGAGCGGCATCTAGTGACGATTTAATGAAGTAGTCAATTTTTAATGCTATGCAGATACGCCATCTATGTCTTCTTTTCGTTCAGGCACATGGCCTCTATCACCTACCTATTATAGTTAAAAACCTCTTTATTTATTTAAAAATAACAATTTATGATAAAAGACATGAAAAATTAAACATAATAATGAAAATTTATTCCAGTTGACAAAACCGTACGAATAAAATTTTTGGATTAAGGTGATAAAAAGTGGTTAAGGACTTTGGTCAATATTTTGGTTATGTGCGGTTATGTCAAAATATATAAACAATAACAAAGAATACCTAATAACAACTTATAACAATGTCCAATGTTTTAAATAAATTGAAAAGTTCCAAGTAGAAAACAAAAAAGGAATAAGCTTCTGAAAATGTTGCATGTAATCTAAGTACTTCTAATTGGACTAAGTGTTGGAAAAGTTTATAACCATAAAAATAGCTGAATATTTTTATAGTTTTCAAAATTTGAACAAGCTTTGCTACAAAATTTCATCAAAGCTATCAACAGTTTGCAAGATATTGAGTTAAGGAACAAGAAAATCACACTAATCAGGGAAAAATCAATCAACACTGGAAAACAAATTAAAAAAAAATAGTCACAGGGATATATTAGCGACTTTCAAATATATCTTGGCTGTTGATCATGAATATAAGAAAAAAATGTTCTCTCGGCTGGCTCTGAGTGTTGAAATAAATCACCTTGAAAGGAAGTTTTCAATAGCTCCACTCTTTAGGAATAGCTCAAGACGAAATCAATAGACCTACAAGTGGTCTATCTGTGGCAGACATATTCAGTTAGTCTTTATATTTCATTATGCAATGTTACAAGGTTCAGCAACTTGCCAAAATGGTTAAAATTTATTTCCAAAATCAGTGCTCTTATTTAGTACAGAATTCTATGAATGACACAATAATTATAAAGTCCTAACTTTGAACATAAAAGAAAATCTTGTAAAAAAACATTTTTTTTATATAATTTATCACTGTTTGGAAAAGTATATTTGTTTGTAAAATATTTGTGTTTACTGTTATATTTAATCCAGGTTAAGTGTCAGTGCGCGAGTATAATGTTAAGTATGAACAAAATCCGCCCATTCTGTTTATATGTTTGGTTACCGACCCTAGTAGATAGGCTATTTGTTATTACTTTTAATTTAGATTTTGGATTAACGTTTTTGTATATGACATGGCTGTTTAGTAATAAATGAAGTCAAAACTGTAACACATGGTTTTATTCTGGAAAGTATTTTTAAATTGAATCACGCACGCCGTTCAAGTGAAAATGTTTTAAGTAGTTCAAAACAACAATCACTCTTTTTCATTGTTTATAGAATACAGCCTTTCAGTTAGCTCAGACAAAACTGATTAAATAAATAAATTAATGTCTTATTATTTTTTGAATTTTTTTTTATTTTGACTGGTTGACTATCTCAAAAATTAAAGCCAATCAAGCAAAACGTGAGTCACATTTCGCTTTTTTAGAAGAACAATAATGCAAATGAAAATTAATGATTCCACAGAAATAGCAAATTAAAGAAAATGTAATATAAAACTTACAACTAAGACGTTAAAGAAAAGTTTGGAAATAATCGATGGGGACTTCGAGATAGCAAATTTATTTTAGTTTTAGACAGAACTACTTTATTTTATTCGTTTTGAAACAATTGAAGATTTATAGGCCGGAAAAGCGATTTTAAACTGAATATTCAGTCCAATAGGCTCTCAACTGAAATCCTTTCCATTTTTAGAATATTATCTTTCAAATTCAACAATTTTATGTTTTGTTCCAACACGGATTTTAATAATAGATTTATAAATTGTTTTTATTTGAATGTTAAAAGTTCTTAAAACTAACTTTAACATATATTTCCCATGCTGGCGCTTAGTGTTAAAATAATGAGACGATTAAACAAAAAAGTCTTACGAGAGCCAGTTGCCCTCTTTTGGTACACATTTGTACAAGGCAACTTTACAAATGTTTCCTCCTTTTTTCTCTTGTAGAAGATGAACACGCTGTGGAGCGCACAATGATGGTATTTTAAAAAGCCACGTCACATATTTGATTAGATAATTAACTTGATATAAGTGCCTTCAAGACTTAAGTCGTTAAGCATTCAAGTTTGGATTTCCCAACCCAGATTCAATTACATATAAAAACATTCTTTCTTATTTTGGAAAAAATATGAAAAATATAATTAATGCAATCTTTCTGCTAAATTTTGTAGTATTTTGATAACAGTTCAGAAAAAAATAGTAGTAGTCAGTAACTGATCTTTACGAAACCCAAAGTTGAGCACTTAACGTCCTGAGCAATGAAAGTTTATGTCAATGTTATCTAATCAAATATGTAACATTCGCATTTTCTATAATTTATAATTTATTTTTTAAGACGCCTTCGTTGAGAGCTTCATCATTGTAGGACATAGGACATGCAGCAAAGTATTTCCATGTACAAAAAAAAAAACAATGAAAAATTTTTAATTTTGCCTTTCGAAAATAATACTCCTAAATGTGCCTACCATAAATTGGTACTCGATTCGTTTTCAAATGGTGTCAAAAGTTACTTAGTATAATTTCACTAAACGTGTTTGGTATTATGTTATAAGTTTACCTAACAGCAAAAAAATCTGTTAGTTAAATTTTGTCAGTGCCGATTTTAGTAAAATTATATTGAATAATAAAATTATAACTACCTACCTATATATAGGTATTTACCCATTATTACTTTTTTTAATTTTCAACTTAACATCCTGTATTTCAGAACATTTTATCCAAACATTTTTTATTTTCGTCTATTCGTCTCATTTTGAACAATAATATTCAGTTGTTCATGTCCTATTCTTAATTTGATGATACCATTAAATAAAAGTGAATATAAATTAACAGCGTACAACTCAAGTTTAATTAACCATCAGCGATATATCCAAAATCCAACCACAATATAGAAAAAAATGTTCCCTATTATAATAAAATTCCACCCAATCTCAACTAATTCAATCTTTTTCAACAAAAACTGGTTTATTTTATTATATCGATTATTTTCGCATTTTATGTGACCTTCAAATACCCTGTATTCTGTGCTTTTGTAATAATTTGAAATAGTAAATTGTAACTATAAAAATACATTACCGAAGACAAGTAGAAATGAAAAAGAAGATTTTAAATTATAATTCATACTCAAGCACAGACATGACCTAAAGACCTGACTTGGACATAAGTACAGTATCGCCATCTACATTCTATGTCCATCGTCCTCCAATGATAAGTCCATAAGGTTACCCTACTATATTTATTCATACAACGTAAAAACAATACTATTAGCACCATCTATTGTGCGTGGAATAATACAGCGTTCATTCATTTTTCAGACGATAGATAACGCTAGTCATTTTATAATAAAATTCTGTAAATGCTATTGAGCAAAAATACAGTTGATCTGTAGTAACCTTTGATTTGGTTTGTTCGTTTGCTGCATTCTGAAAAAAGCCATTTTTAAATAATTTTTAAGAAAAAATATAATTGTTAAAAAACTATTCATTGTGTTGTGATTATAATTTACGTTTTTAAACAAAATGTTGAGTTTTTTATTACATAAAAATGCAATTTTAAGTGATACTATTTTTTTAAGTGTACACCAAGAGTAAATTTTAATAGCGTTGTAAAGGAAATGAACAAGCATTTTCAAACGAGTTATGGCGATTTTGTGAGAAAGTAGACGCCTCAAGAGGAAAGCTTTCAAAGTAACTATTTCCTTTATATATTAATCTGAATTTTTAAATTTAGTCATTAATGTAAGAAAAAGGTGTAAAATTTGCATATTTTTATTTGAAATTCGTGCCCGTAGCTCTTCGACAGTGACATTCTATTGACAATATTGACATTTTGTCAAAAAATTGTCATATCAAACGCCAAAAGACGTTTATAAACACATTTCATGCATAAATGCTACAGACACAAAGTAAATTTTCATTATAAAATATAATAATAAGTTATATAAAGTTCCACACGCCCATCTGCTTCTTCCATGATGACGTCACCATCTTTTTCTTGCGTAAAAATATCACAGTTTACCTTGTCTCTCAATCCCCCTAAAATACGTTTTTTACGCTCGCGTTCTGTTATATTTTAGCACATCCCGGCTTATTATAGAAATAATTAAGAGAAACAACTTTTGGAGGTCCTTACTTTAGCATCAAAATGTCTAATAACCAGTATACTATCAGAGAAGTTGTAGGTAAGTAGTATAAACGGTGTTGTGATTGTGACCGATTTTCGATAAAATTTCCATAATGTTTATTTACAGATCATCAGTTTCATTCTGTGGGAAGTGCTGATGACGAAAATGATACTGCTTCAGATGAAGAACAAGTTCCAGTTATGTATCAATATGAAATGGTGGGGCCACTGGAACGAACAGTCAAACGTCGTGGTCACCTACCCAAAGACGCCGTAAAAATATTGAAAACATGGTTGTACGAACACAGATTTAATGCCTATCCCACCGAAATTGAAAAGCACATACTATCACAAGAGACCAACCTGACTGTGTTGCAGATTAGCAACTGGTTCATCAATGCCAGAAGGAGATATCTGCCCGAGATGATGAGACGAGAAGGGTGAGTTTTCATTTGGATAGTTTGATAGCAAAATGGGTGATATTATTTTGGGGTTTTTCTTTAAATTGGGTCTCATTTCCATGGTGTTTATGTAAACAGTTTGAGGTAAATGTTCTTTTGCTCTTATGATTGCACTTTTTTTAAATTTTAAAATGTGTCTTAAATGAGAGTATACAAAATGGGAATTTTTAGTATTTTTAAAGGAATTTTTAACAAACTCATGTTTATACACTTTTTTTGAATTTATAAGTAAAAAAAATAAGTTTAGGACATGGTTTTGTTAATATTCTTTTCAAGTCGGACCTGTATTTAAATTTTGGTTACAATAACAACACTATTGTAACAAAAAAAAAAAATAAAAAATTTACATGTTAGTTTCAAAGTTATGCCTTAAGAAGAAGTGGATAAAAATTAATATCTTATGTTTGTATATTAAACTTCCTGAATATACGATATGTATACCTTTAGATAAGGAGGGCTCATGTACTAATTTAAAATAAAAAAAGTTGGGATTTAGTGGTTTTAAAAGCTGAATTAAATTAGTAAATACAGATGGTCGTGATAGATTTATACATTTATTGATGTCTTTTATATTCCTGTTTTAATTTTATTTTATAAAAAAAATCTTTTATTAGTCGTATTGTTTGCTTGTGTTTATTTTCATTTTGTTTGCTTTAATTACATAAGTGAGAGTTTGCTTAAATCACAATATAGAAACCTACAAAAGATATAAACATTTTTTTACATGGCATTTCTTGTGTTTTGCTTCTATAACCTAAACACTCTATATTTTAAATTTCTTGCAATAATAAATATTACACTTTTACTTCCTTTCTTATTAAAATAGAACTTTTTTGACACAAAGTTGTCCAATGTTGACAGGTTTGATACTCGTGGAGGATGGTTATTAGTTATCCACATGTCAGCTAATAATTATACAGGGTGTTTCATAATATATGCGCAGGACTTCAGGACATGATAGCTCGTCCAAAAATATGAAAAAACGTTTCTATTAACTTCCCCTCTAAAATGCATTTTTTTCGAGATACATGGTGTTGAAATTGAAAAAAAAAAATTCTACACCACTGGAAAAAGTACGGTTTTGAGACGCCCATTTGAACCACCAATGTTTTCTACACAAAAAAGGTACTTTTGGTCATATGCTCTAAAGTCGACCGTTTTCGAGAAAAATCAAATTTTAATGTTGAAATAGTCATACATACTTGATGAAACAAAATTTGATTTGTCTCGAAAACGGTCGACTTTAGAGCGTATGACCAAGAGTACCTTTTTTGTGTAGAAAACATTGACGGTTCAAATGGGCGTCTCAAAACCGTACTTTTTCCAGTGGCGTAGAAATTTTTTTTTTTTAATTTCAACACACTCATTGCGTTCGGTTTGCCACGTTCCTTTAACTCCTTTAACACTTTTAACTCCAAACGACTCTTTTAGCGTTCGGTTTAGTCCGATTAGTGACAGTTTAACACGCTTAAATGTCATTTAAAAGCACCCTAAAATTTGTCCCGCTCCAGCCCCTTACTGACCGAACTCGCCTCCTGTATCTCGAAAATGGTGCATTTTAGAGGGTAAGTTAATAGAAACGTTTTTTCATATTTTTGGACAAGCTATCACATCCTGAAGTCCTGCGCATATATTATGAAACACCCTGTATAGAGCATTCAATATAAAAACCGATACACGTCATCAATTAGTTGTGAAGTCATTCCTTGCAGTGTTGCCCAATCTTCAAAATAGTCTAAGAATGTAGGAATTTTTAAAACTATGAGGTTATGTTTTTTTGGCTATGTTATTAGGAACAATTAATTTTAAATGTATAATGATTTCTATATAAAAGCCAATGAAGGTCATTGATAATGTTTAAATTGAAGTTTTAGAAAAACACTGAATTTAATAGTAATAAATTTTGCACAAGAGGTTTAAAATGACAAAAAAAGGTTAGGTTAAGGATGAAAAAACAAACAAATTTTATTTAGGCTTGATTTAATTTATTATAAAAAATAATTATGTTCAGTTAGTTTATAAACATCCATATTTAAAAGAAGTAACAATAATTAGAACAGTTAGGTAATAAAATTAACAACACATGACATTTTAAAACTTAAATAATATTTAAGCTAAAATCAGTCAGAATAATCAGAACTAAAATCAGAATCATCTCTATTTGGTGTTATAATAATGGGAGCAATTTCCAATCGGTCCAGTATATGCTCTCTTTCACACCATTTAAAAATTTCTTTTTCAGTGTGTCTTGCACTGTTTGCCCACATTTGTGGGGTAATGGTTCGGAGTGCTTCAGACCACATGTCTATACAATCTCTTTGTGTCTTTCCATCCCGACCAATGTGCCTGTTATAATATTGTTTTGAAATACCCCAAATCAGTTCTACTGGATTAAAAATACAATGGTAAGGAGGAAGACATAACACCTTATGTCCATACTGTTCAGCCAGCATATCAGCTACATATATTTTTGGTGGTTTATTACTTAAAAAAATAAAATCATTTAAAAAATACAGAAAAAGTAGATTTCCATTACTCACCATCTAACAAGGTTCAAAAGTTCAGCCTTAAACATGGTGACTGAATAAGGTATGTTTTGATTTGTCAACCACTCTTGAATTTGAACCTTAGTCGAATTACTATTCGGTGTTTTGTGTGCCAATGTGCTATGGTATGAAGCATTGTCCATTACAATTAAAGATGGTTCATGCAGTCTTCGAAGCAATTGTTTTTCGAACCATTTTAAAAAAAATTCATTATTCATCTCACTGTGATAATCATAATCATTGCTTTTTGAAGCAAATATGGCCTCTGCACCATCAATAAATCCATTTTCGTTTCCAGCATGAAGAATGATATATCTATAAAAAAGATCAATATACAGTTAACATGTATATATTCATTAGTTTTTTTTTATTAACCTTTTACTATCAACTTTTGTACTTTTTACACTTCTTTTATTGCTGTCTTGCTTATGGTGGCATTTTGGAAAATCCAAGTCTCATCAATAAAAACAAACTGGTATAAATTTGCTTCCTTTTCTTTGTTACCTATATTTTCTTAAAAATTCTGCCCGTTTCACGGCAATATCTGGAAGTTCCATAAGACCTCGCCTTGGTTCATCTTTGTGCCATTTGAAACCTATTTCTAATAATAAGGTATGCAATGATGTGCCACATCCATTGAACAACTCCTTCTCATTAAGTTTCACCAACAAAGAATCTAAACTTACATGCTCCTCTGAAATCATACATTAATTTGTAATTGTGTAATAATTTTATATACATATACACTTACTAGACTCGTACATGCTATAAATAACATCTTGAATAGCACTAATATTCAGAATTCTTGTGTTGGTAACTTTCTTTTGCCTAGGGCGCTTTTTTGGTGGTGACTTTAGAACTTCACTGTTCTTTACAGCTTGTGAAATAGAACTAACAGTAGAAAAATTGAGATTAAGTGCTTCTGGGACATGCTGAAACAAAATAATTACATTAATTTGAGGGTGATACATTATTAATCAACACACTTCTCTTACAGCTGTTAAAGGTAACAAAGGCCCATTATTATCACGTTCTTTCTCAAACTAATTTATTAGAGAAGCCACTAGTTCTTGCAGCGACTATTTAATTGTTTTGGCATTTTTCAATGAAAAAATACACAATAAATGAACACCACTATTAAATTCCTAATAAATTTGTTCTGAAAAGAACAGTTTGTTAATAATTTAATCTAAAATACAAATAATTTGTTGAAAAGAAATCGATCGATGCAAAATAATACAAAACAAATAACAATTGACAACAATGTATTAAAATTGAAAGCTGACCATTTGATGCCAACTTTTATTATGAAATTCACTAGAAAGTATTCTGTTAATAATCTGCCTACAGTACATTTACTACTGTAATATGATAAAAAAATACATTTTTAATATGCAATTTTATTTGCAAAATAAAATTTAATTTTATTAGTGTGTGTGGTACCAATGACTGTCACTGACGTCATCTCTGACGTGCATCGGTTTTTATATTGAATGCTCTATACCCAGCTCTACTTGTGAGGAGGTGCATCGTTTGGTACAGTGTGAGGGCTGGTTCATTTTTTTATAAAAAAATTTAAAAACTACTGTTAAAATTAACAGTCAATGTTATAACTACTATAAAGTACTTTCATTTACAGTAGGATAATAATATTAATTTATTTAAATGAAAGAAAAAAATTAGAAAAATAAAGAAATGGTGATATGGTTACAGTAAAAATAGGAGTTCCACAGGGAACAGTACTGAGTCCGATATTATTTGTGGATTACATTATTACATTTATGTATTGAGGATGTAACAATTTCTTTTGTGGGATTTTGTTAAAGAGAGTTTTATCAAAGGGATAAGAATTGTTTAGACATGAATAAATTGTCACTGTGTATATAGTGTTTTCCCTAACTTAATGCTAATCCATCAATATTTAATGATACTGTAAAAACGTAGAAGCAAAAATTGTTAAATATTCCATTCTTTAAATAAGATGGAACTAAAAATAAAAAGTTAAATAGTAATAATTATAAAAGTCAAAATTAATGCTTACTTTCAGCTCTTTATATAAGTTTTCACTACTAGTAATAAAATCACTTTATAACTATTACCACTAAATTTTTTTTTTTTTTTTCGGAAGAATGAAGGGGGAGATTTCAATTCATCTTGTTTCCATCCCACCATCTTGTTGATGGTGAAACAAAGGGAATGTCATTCCTTAATGATTCTTTTTAATTATCAAAATTATTGACATAAATTTCAATTTAAAGAGTATGAAATCAGCGATTTTAAATTCAAATTACTTTATAATCTATAATTACACAATTATTATTTACATCATTAATTAGTATAATCAAAAAAATATGCAGCAAATGTTTTTTTAAGTTTCATATTTTCATTGTCCATTTCATTTTATATTGACGTGAAATAAATTTCAATTCAGTAGTATCAATAGAATTTAAAAAATGGAAAATAATTCCAATAGAATTCCTGCCATAGACCTCTGCTACTAAAGTATGAATTCACCTTAAACACTGATGTCTAACGTCAACAATGACTATGCACTTTTTTACAATTTAAATAAAAAGCATCAATAGAATACATCAATTGCTACATTTCCCAAATTTTTAGTGACTGACAATTTATGAACATAAATCATACATAATCTGATAAAACTTTTTTTATCATACATTTTGTCAACAATTTAAATTAGTTTACAATCTATTTGAAATAACAAACCAATAATAATAATTCTAATCGAAAAAAGTTAAGAATATTAATAAAAAAAAAATTTTAATAATTATGTTTTGTTACATTATTAGAGATAATTCTAATTAAAAATGTACTTTATACAATTTTTTTCTCAAGAATTCACAATCTCCTTAATTTTTTACAATCAGTTCATATCAGAAATATTTTAGACAAATAGTTTTTGTAGGTTTTTTTGTAAAATACTTTAAAATATTTTACCAGTATGTTACATCACAGTAATAATTCTTTGGGACATTGTATTTACATCTTGTTCAGTGAACCCAACCCTTATTTCTCAAATATTTGCTAACTCTAGCACTGATCTTGAGGATGCTGCAACTAACTGCTGTTTCATTTTATCATAAGGTCTCTATGGGCTGCTTAACATCCATCCTAACAGTAGAATATTATTATCATTAAAACAGAAGAAGAAAAGAAGAAAATATTTATTTGATATTCCCAAATCCTTTCGGTTATTATATATTTATAAAACATTTGATAAATAACAATACATTTAATATACTTATAAATAAAAGAAAGGTAACAATTTTAGGGTACCTGTCTTTAGATGGATTCAAAAATGATGTCTTCTAGTAAACTGGATGGGAGTTGTTATTGCCTGTCTGTTATTAATGTTAACATTAATTGACTTGTTGGCAAATTTTTGAGTGAGATGCTGGATTCTTTATGTTATAGGTTCCAATTATGTTTTATTCAGAGGGCTATGGAGTGAATTATTATCATATCTCATTTTAGTAATGCTTCTTAGGACACTTTTTTCTGCTATCTCAATATTATTCAAGGTGTTTCTTCTGCATGTTTGGAATAAGACAATCACGGTCGATCAGTGGTCTGCATATCTTCTATATATGAGTGAAATACCACTCACTGACTCGTCACAAGATCTCCAAAACACTCACTAAGAACGGGTTTTATATACATCATATTTTAAGGGGGGGGGGGGGAAACGGGGAGTGACCGTTTGTATGAGAGTATTGTTTTTTTTTTAAAGTAGGAACTTGAAAACTGAAACTGTAGCTACACATCATAAATAAATAATGACATATTTCAGGGTTTTTGGATTTTACATTTTAAGGGGGTAGGAACGGGGAGGAAGGGAGGGATGTGGGGTGAGGGGGAAAGTTTAGTATCGATTTTTTGATGGTAGGAACTTTAAAATTGGAATTGTAGCTACTCATGATATTGTATCACCTCTGTAAATATTTAGAGGATAAACTAAATACTAAAAAAAATTAAGTTTTACACTTTTCCTCAAATTTTTCCATTACTGTCCATTTTAGAGAAATGTATAAAACAAAAATTATATAGAATAATAAAATAATATAGAATAATATTAGAAGTAATTTTTATTATTTTCTTCTCCAAACAAATAACATTTTATATTCCATAAAATATAAAAATGACCCTTTATAAACTACCCCCCAGATGTTCCGACTCTGCCAAAAATCTAATCAGTTCACCGCAGGCCAGAATAAAGGTTAAGTTTAAAATTTGATGTTTTTCTCTTTATCCGTTTTTGAGTTTTCTTCAAAATTCCATTTTACAGAAATTATGTATAGAACAAGAATGATAAAAAATAATATAACAAACAACTTTTATTTGAAATATTTTCTTAAAAATTTGATTTTTTTACATTTTGTAAAATTTCTCGAAAACGGACCATTTTAGGAAAAGTTTATATAAAACAAAAATTATAGAGAATAATATTAGAAGTAACTTTTATTTAAAGAATTTTCTTCTCCAACCGTAAATAACAGATATATTTCATATATAAAAAAAATGACCCCTATAAAGAACCTCCCCTTCCAGATGTTCCGATTCTGCCCAAAATCTAATTAGTTCACCAAAGCTTAAGTTTAACATTTGATGTTTTTCTCTTTATCCATTTTTGAGTTTTTTTTTTCAAAAATCGAAATTTGCACTTGTTCTCAAATATCTCGAATACGGTCCATTTTAGAGAAATTATGTATTGGACAAGAATTATAGGGAATAATATTACAAACGACTTTTATTTCAACAATTTCCTTAAAAATTTGATTTTTTTACATTTTGTAAAATTTCTTAAATACGGACCATTTTAGGAAAATTTTGTATAGAACAAACATTTTAGATAATAATATTAGAAGTATCTTTTATTTGAAGAATTTTCTTCTCAAAACGTAAATAATAGATAGAGACCCCAAAACGTAAAAATCAGTCAAAAACTCGAGATCGAAAAAAATCATGATTCCTATGCCTACTTTCCTTATCTGTATTCAAATAGGAAAGTAAATATGGTGGGAAAACATCACATTTAAAAACTAGATAGCAATTTGATGAGCTATTTCGGGGCCAGCATCCGTATATATTAGAAATGCATTGATGCATACTAAGCCCATATCTTCGTCTGCATGAGAAAATTTATTAAACTTAAATTATTTTAGATACCTTAAATCAATAAGAATATTAAAAATATCCTGTTATTACTTGCTGACCAGTTTTTTTATAGTATATTTGTAACGTAAGAGTTTATTAATGCAAATCGTAACACTAAAAACTAAACTCTAGCCTGTCTTTTGTCTCTTTGTTAAAATGATTTCATCTAAAAGAAAAAAAAACAATTCGGAATAGCGTATTTTTTACAGGACTTATGTCTTATGAGAGAAAATGATTTCAGTAAGGTAATAGACATTTTTTGATGTAATATATTCCTAAAAATTTAAACTTTTCATTCACGTTAGTTTTGAAGACAATGCATGTAATTTTTTTTTAATTATTTAACCCAAAAAAAATGAAACACCCAAAAACTGTTACAAAATAGTTTTTGGAAAGTATTAACCAACCAAAATAGTAAGTTTGCAACTTCTACACTAGGTTTTTAATGTATTTTAAATCTCATGGTGTATACTCTCAGAAAAATAGACACTAAATCATGAATTATGAAAGTACAAGAAATAAATCGACCATGGAAAGACTTGAATTCACGGAAAAAACCCCTTAATTTTCTTCCAGCTACGATTCGGTGCACTACACCATCACTAGACGTCGCAGGGCGTCTTCGTCGCCCAGAAATTCGACGGACGGTAGTACGCCCACGATCGGAGGCGTCTATTACAGAAAGGGCAAGAAGATGATGCGCGTGGAGAGAGTGGACAGCGATACCGAATACGAAGTGGACGCCAACGGTTTTGTAGAGGCTCAACCGCAACCGGTGGCCGTCAGTACTCCGACAGGCAGTAGGAAGTTCAATCCTTGGAACGCCGATGTACACTATGGGTTGACTGTCAATGCGGCTGAGAGGAAGTAAGTGAAGTTTCTTTTTTTTATTTATTTTCTTTTTTAATGACTGAAGTTGTCGAAGCCGAAGACACCAATAAAAAAAAATTAGCAACTTAACAAGCAAATAAATGCCCATTTATTATAAGTTTACAAGAAAAATAAATTAAATTTTTGATCAGTACATCATACTTACAATAATTAAATACTTAATACTAAAATTAAAACAAAAATTAAATTTAAAATTAAGTAACAACAACATTTACGATTTTAGAGAACATACCAGTGCAGGTTTAATAAATAAAATAGTTTTATCAACTATCTTTTTGTTTTTTAATTTAATTTTTTGTGTCAATCCCAAAGCACGAAATTTTCCCTTTGGAATATATAATAACTCATTGAAAACAATAAAGTTCTGTTGGTAGATTTCTTAGAAAACCTTTAATTTTCCATCTAACTAGGCATTTGGAAGGCTTATGGGATAAGGATTCCAAATATTTTTGCAAAGTCGAATTTAACGTGCAAAAGGCCAAATATTTGTACATAGGCAGGCTTACAGGAAAAATGGGCCAAATATTTTTTACTTGAGAATACTTAAGGGGTAAATAAAGGACACAAATATTTTTACATGAACCAGACCAGGGGTAGATGGTAAATGCACCAAATATTTTAATATGAGCAGGCTTAAAAGATAAATGGACAGGCTTGAAGTATAAATAGGTAAAATATTGTTACTTGGGTAGGCGTAAGGGGTAAAAGGGACTAAATATTTTTACAGGCGCAGGTTTAAGGACTAAAGGGATTAATTAATTTTACAAGGACGGGCTTAAGGGGTAAAGGGACAGAATAATTTTACATAGACGGGATTAAGGGGTAAAGGTACATAATATTTTTACATGAACAGGCTTAAGGGGTAATGGGACAAAATATTTTAACATGGACAGACTTAAGGGGTAAAAGACCAAAATATTACATTGGCATGCTTAGGTGAAAAATCTGATGTGTCCAACACATGACTTTCCTATCTAGTTATTATAGGCTTTTTCCGGTTATTTTGTACAACCTATTGCAGCAACTCTATAAATGTTTAGAGGATAAACTAAATATATACATTGTCCACATACATCTACCTCGAAACATTTTTCTATAGATATTCATTGAAAACGAAAATACTGAAAAATTTAAATTTAGCACTTTTCCATTACGGTCCATTTTAGAAAAATCATGTATAAACAAAAATTATAGAGATCGATATCGCAAATAACTTTTAGTTCAACAATTTTCATAAAAATCAGAATTTTGCACATTTTGTCAAATTTCTCGGATACGGACCATTTCAGGAAATTTTGACATAAAACAAAAATTATAGATAATAATATTAGAAGTAACTTTTATTTGAACAATTTTCATCTCCAAACATAAATAACATATATATTCCATAAAATATAAAAACGGCCTCCCATAAAGTACCCCTCTAGATGTTCCGACTTTGTCCAAAATCTAATTATTTCACGTCAGGCCGAAATAAACCTTAGGTTTAAAATTTAATGTTTTTTCTTTATCCGTTTTTGAGTTTTCTTCAAAATTCGAAATTTACACATTTTCTCAAATATCTGGAATACGGTCCATTTTAGAGAAATTATGTATAAAATAAAAATTTAGAGAATTATATTACAAACAACTTTTAATTGAACAATTTTTATAAAAAAATATTTTTTTTACATTTTGTCAAATTTCTCGAATACGAACCATTTTAGGAAAATTTTGTATAGAACAAAAATTATAGATAATAATATTAGAAGTAACTTTTATTTAAAGAATTTTCTTCTCCAAACGTAAATAACAGATATATTTCATAAAATATAAAAATCACCACCTATAAAGTATCCCCCAGATGTTCCGACTCTGTCCAAAATCTAATCAGTTCATTAGACGCTGGAATAAAGCTTAAGTTTAAAATTTGGTGTTTTTCTGTGTATCGGTTCATGAGTTATTCGACCTACAGACACACACACAGACATCATCGCGAAAATAGTCAAAACGGATTCAGGGGAAAAAATCATGATTCCTATACTTTCCTTATATCTGTATACAGATAGGAAAGTAAAAAGGTACAAATATTTTTACATGGACAGACTTGAGAAGTAAAGAACCAAATTTTTTTACATTAACGGACTTGTAAAGGGCCAAAATACTTTTACATGAACAATCTTGTGGAGTGAAGGTCCCAAATATTTTTTAATGGTCTAAATATTTTTACATGAGCAGGCTTAAAGGGTAAAAGGCCCAAATATTTTTACATGAGCAGGCTTAAGAGATAAAGCTTACAAATGTTTTTTCATTACCAGGGTTAAGGGGTAGGGAGCCTAAATATTTTTACATGGGCACGTTTAAGGGCTAAAAGGCTCAAATATTTTTACATGAGCAGGCTTAAGGAATAAATGGCACAAATATTTTTTAATGGGCAGGGTTAAGAGCCTAAATGAATATTTTTACATGAGCAGATTAAAGAGATAGATCAACCAAATATTTTTACATTGACAGGCTTGAGGGGTAAAGGGCCCAAATATTTTTACATGGACAGCCTTAAGAAGTAAAGGGCCTAGGTATTAAAGAATAGACGATTTGTTTTTTATTTTATTTTTTATTATAACCATTATTTCGTAAGATTTTCTGTTAAATATTGGTTTTAAATATTTTTTTTATTTTATATTTACTTTTTTTTAAATATATACAGGGTGTACTAATAAAAACTCTCAGGCCGGATATTTTGGTAAGTAATAGAGATATTTTAATTCTGTAAAAGCCAGTTCATAGAGCGCTAAGAGAACTTCAGTTTTAGATATAAATTAATTTTAAATAGGTCAATATGTAGATGGCGCTTCGCTCAATTTTTTTTTTTTTTTTTTCGATGGAAGGATCTTATATAGCGCATCTGGTGAAAAATGCATTTTTAAGCAGATTTTGTTCTATAAACTAATTCGATAAATCTAGCCATTTTTGATATACAGAGTGGGTTACTCAAAACAGTTTCATCCTGTTTTTCGGCATTAATCATTGGATTTTTAGAAAATGCTAAATCAGGTTGATTTTAATTCCAAATTAAACACATTTTTACAATACAGACATCTGTCATGTGTCAACCCCTTCCCTTCCACTTCTCCAACCCCTTAATTTTAAATAAGGAATTTACCATGTATGGCATATCATTAAAAAGATAATTTTATGGGGAAGTCAGAAATATGACTGTTTATTGCGATACTTTTAATTTTAGCGCCCTATATCGGGATCAAAAAATTGTAACGTATTATAAAGTGTGACACTTCATTTGAAAGCTAATTTAATTACTAATTCAATGCACAACATAACGTTATTATAAATACTTCCATATTACACTTGCACCAAAATAAAGTTGGCAATAATATTTAAAATAATGCATGACTAATTTTCAAACTATTGCAAGTGCAATATGGAGGATATTTATATTAATGTTATGTGGTACATTGAGTTAGTAATTAAATTTGCTTTCAAATAAGGTGTCAGACTTTATAATACGTAGTTTTTTATCCCGATAGAGGGCGGTACAATTAGAAGTATCACAATGAACAGTCATATTTCTAAATTCCCCACAAAATTACCTTTTTAATGATGTACTACACATTGTAGTATCACACTCTATAATATGTAGTAGTTTTTATCCCGCTAGAGGGCGATAAAATTTAAGTAAGACAATGTACAGAAATATTTCTGGATCCCCCATTAAATTACCTTTTCAATGATGTGCCATCCATGGTACATTACCTATTTAAAATTAAGGTGTTGTAGAAGTGCAAGGGAGGGGGTTGACACATGACAGATGTATGTATTGTAAAAATGTTTTTAATTTGGAATAAAAATCGACCCGTTTTAGCATTTTCTTAAAATCCAATGATTCATGCTCAAAAACAGGATGAAACTGTTTTGAGTGACCCACTCTGTATATCAAAAATGGCTAGATTTATCGAATTAGTTCAAAGAACAAAATCTGATTAAAAAAACATCCCAACGAAAAAAAAAAATATTAAGCGCAGCGCCTTCTACATATTGACCTATTTAAAATCAATTTATATCTAAAACTGAAGCTCCCTTAGTGCTCTATGAACGGGCTTTTACAGAATTAAAATATCTCTATTACTTACCAAAATATCCGGCCTGGGAGTTTTTATTGGTACACCCTGTATAGTGAAATTAGGAAGGCAAAAAACTGTATTTATACTTAGGGTGTAAATATACCCCGCGCAGTATTCTGTATATTGTTTTAGCACCGTAAGCCGAAGGTTAAAAAAAAATCTAACCTAAGCCTAAAAGGCATATTATTTGAACAAAATAAATTAAAATTAGTATTAAAAATATTAATAATCAGAAAAACGGATTTTTGAAGACCATAAAATCACATCTGAAATTAGTTTTCTCTTAACTTTCGCTATAGTCGTTTTAGCTTCAATTTAACCATTAAAAATCGATTTTTCTTTCGATTATTTCGCTTTTATCGCATTATTTTTACACTTATGAAGTTTTTAACTTCATATTCTGATATTTGAACCCCAAAAAGCCAATACCAAGACATATTTTGTGACTGTATCAAACAATGTAGAAATTTTGTAATAAAATTATATTCAATGTACAAAAAAATAAAAGTTTGAATGGATTTTTACAAAACATCGATGTCCTTAATTTCAAATCCAGCATTAATATTCCATAACTTTTACCATAGTCGTTTTAAAACAAATTTTGCGGTTAAAATCGATTTTTATTATAGCGCTTCGATTCCACTGCCCTGCCTGCACATAAAAGATGAGCGATATATCGATACCGGTTACATTTCAGATTGAAAAGTAACTGGTATTGACATATCTCCCACCTTTCGTATGCACTCAGTGCAAGCCGTGCATTAGATTCGAAGACGCTATTAGATTATTTTTCTTTCATGACATTTAGAAACAAAATATAGTTTTGTCTCTTAATTTGTTTTATTGGTAGTTTTTTAATTTTATTTGGCAACAATAAAAACAATGGAGACCTGCAAAATTTGGCGATTTAAATGCTAAAAATAATAAAAAAATATGTGTTTTACATAAATATGTGTAATACATCATTAAAAGCTGTTCTGTTGTGAGATATGGAATGGAAAATTCAACGTCTTAATACTTCATCATTTTTGTACATAATAAAATCATTTCTCATTTCTTTTATGCCAAGAGTTTGCCCGTGGGTGCTTTATTTCCAATAAAGGGAACATCAGTCCCAATTAGTTAATCCAAATCACGTGACTTTAAAAATGGTAGACGCTTGGCAAAAACAACAAACGTGTCTGTTTCTTGACAAAAACACTTCTAGTTAGATTAAGTTTGTGTGTTATTTTTTAGTTGACAAATGGCATAAATTAATATTTATTAAGGATCTAGGAATATTAATTGTACGATTTACAATCAATAACAGTCAAATACTAATGAAAAAGTCAGGTTTTTGTCAAGCATCAGCTGTTTTGGTACATTCTGAAAGGAAGTTGGGAACCACCAATAAGTGTACCTCGAATTTTTATAATTATTTTTCCAGCTTCATGTGATGTTTGAACAGCAAAATGTTGCTAAAATTTTTTTATAAATGATAAAGTTTCATATAGTCTATTTAAAAACTAATCCAACTATTACTAATTATTCAAAAAGTGATAATGTTAATAAAAATGCTAATTATCACAAAAAATTACACGATTTTATTTGTTTATGTCTACGGAATGCTATTGTTCTGGATTTTAACTGTTTGATAGTCCAATAAAATTCGATATAATGTTGAAAAATTGGGTCATAATTATTATTGTACAATATATATTTATATTCATAGGAAGTAAAGTTAGAATAATAAATATTATACACAATCATATTATCTGGCATATACCCGATACCTGTCATGTCGGTATATGTTTGTAATTGGTCGTCTTGGAAAAAAGAAAAAGAGGAGTTAGAAATAACTAAAGTAAAAAATAAAACGTCATATTTTTATTATTATTATTATTATTATTATTATATTATCTCGTTAATTTTAAAAATTATTCATTTGGCATTTAGATATATATTTTGCTTAAAATACGGAAATGTAAAGGCAAGATTAAGCACAAGGGTGTTGTTTCACATAACTTTTAAACAAAAATAGAATTTAAAATCAATTCCACAATTTAATATTAATACAATAAACAGAAGATTGTTATCTATTAATTGGAAATTAACCAGCCTATAGATTGTGGATAACCTCTACTGTATAAAGTTGAAATATTAATGCAAATAGATTGATGATATTGAATATATAGAAAAACATCATAGAAATGATTATTAAAGGATGCTGGCAGGGCCGCCGAGAGCAATGGTGGGACTCCGGGGTAAAATATTGGCAAAGGTCCGCTTCCCACATATTATAACCTATTTTTTTAAAGCTCTCATATATATTTTTTAATAAATTACCTAAAATAGAACTTTTTGTCACTTAATTTTCTTTCATATCTTTGTTTTCGAGGAAAAAATTAAAACTAATAATTTTTCTTGTCTCTGATTACCTGAACCCTTAACATAAAAAAAGCAAAGTTGGATTATAGTTTATTTTTCGATGAAATCCTAATGATATAAGCTGGATTGATCATCCTGTATATTACTATGGAAAATCAAATGAAAAAATTTTCTACGACAATATTAGTGGGGATTATAAAATTGGAAAACAGACTCGAAAATGAGGGTTATTTAGTGTATTTGGAGTCATAAATATATACGTTCGTTTCCAAACTTAGTACCCATTTAAAATTATTTAAACATATTATAGAAATTTTTTGCTTTCGTCAAAAGTAGTAAATTTTCTAAAAACTGCTTTTAACTAATACTGTAGCGTAAATTCAAAGCTATATTAACATTTTATTTCTATTATTTTTAAGATTGTATTTTTTTAAACAAAAAATTATTTGATTATATAACTTTAAACTATTTTTTATGACCTGAAATCAATATTAAAAAAAAAAAAAACTTATATGTCAAATTCAATGACAAGTGGTTGGTTTTTGTTAAAAGTTATTAAGTCACATTAATATTTATTGCATGGTTCATTAAAAATCGCTCATTACCACGTAATTTTCTGGAATTCTCCTGGGCTATAATTGATCTCACTTTATTTCATAGTCCAGTAAAATTTGTTGTAAAATTGGAAATTAAAAAGCAAAATTGAGTTGCTCTTTGTAATAATAATGTCTTTATTAAAGCAAATAACATAGTTTTTACATTAAAATACATAATATTGCCATAGTGTTCTGTAGTCTAATAAAAACAATAACAAAAGACGGGAAAAGAATGTTTAGAGGATGAACTCATTATATACATTTTCTACACAAATCTTACTCGAAACATTTTTTATAATACATATTCATTGCCAACGAAAATTTTAAAAAATTAAAATTTTACACCTATTCCTCAAATTTTTCCATTACAATCCTTTTTAGATAAATCATGTATGGAACAAAAATTACAGAGAATGATATTGGGATAATTTTCAAAATATTCGTGAGTTCGAAAAAAATTCCGGAAATAATTTATATATGAGCAAATAATGAGAAAAAATCGAATTTCGCACTTTACCTTAAATTTCTCGAATACGGTCCATTTTAGGGAAATCATGTACAGGACAAAAATTATAGAGAATGACATCGCAAGCAACTTTTATTTGAACAAGTTTCTTTAAATTTCGAATTTTGCACTTTATGTCAATTTTTTTAGAGGATTTTAGAAGCTTTCTCTTTATCTGTGTTTGAGTTGTTGTGGATACACACATCATCGCGAAAATAGTTAAAACGTATTCAGGGTTCCGTCGAAAACTCGAGGTCGAATAAAGTCATGATTCATATACTTTTCCTCTTTATACAGACAAGTAAAAACTAAAAACGTAGGTACCTATATGTCAAATTTAATAACAGAATGATTTATTTTTGTTAAAAGTTATTGTCCTATTAATATTTATTGCATAATTGCATTACGCCGTAATTATCTGCAATTGTCCTGGGCTATAATTATCCATCACTTTATTTCATAGTCCAGTAAATTTTTTTATAAATTTATAAAATAAAAAACAAAATTGAGACGCTCTTTATGCATAACTTTTCCAGCAGACCAGAAACTGTACAGGTCGTTCAACCGCAACAAGTCATCCAAGCCAGCACCCAGAACGTCAGCAGTTCCAATCCCTTCCCCTCGAACTTGGTGGTCGTCAAAACCGCATCCGGTAAAAACATCGTCTTGAAAGTCATATCTCAAAGCACAGAGGTACGTTTCTAAATATACATAGATTCTTTTTTATGATTCTTACGTGCGAATTTAATTATAATTAGATCCCGAAGCAGTACTTGCTGAAGACCAAGAAACAAACGCCTGTGGTCGCTCCTCTAGTTGAGGTGGTGAACGAAGTGCCTGCTGAAGACCAAATTTCCATAGAAGAGCACGACATTCACGGCGAGGAGGTAACGGAAGAGGAAGAGACCGTCGTCGAGGAGGAAATCGTTCCGGAATATGAAGAAGGCGTCGAAGGATTGGTCGAGACGGAAATGGTGTCTATCGATGAGGACGGCGATGAAATTTATGCTCCCGAGGAGGAGGTCGAAGAGGTGTTTGTCAATGAGGTAAGTCAATGAATTTATTAATTACTATAAAACTGATGTAAAATTACTATACAAATACTATAAAACTATGAAAAAAATACTAAGAATTTTGGTTAAAATACTATAAAACGATTATAATACTACTATAAAATGACAAAAAAAAATGTTATAAAACTATTAAAAAATTACTATAAAATAACTAAAAATATACTAATATTGGTTGTATAGCTATAATTTGGGTGTAAACGTTTGTCAAAATGTAGACGACTTTTTGAATAATACTCGTTTAAAGTTTCCTGAGCTATTATTGATTGATATTTTTAATAATAACCTAGTAAAAGTTTACATAAAATTGTAAAATTACCAGATTTCAATAGGGGACCTTCAAGTATTACATAAGCAGGTTTGGGGAACGGGGGATCTTATTTTTGGCGACAAATGGAGCAGGGGGGATATTATAAATCTTACGTACGATAAAGATATTAAAAATAATACCAAATTTGGTTAAAAGTTTTGAAAAAAATTATTACGTCTTAACATTTGGGGAGGACGTCCGGGATTTTCTTATTTTTGGAAGTTTGCTTACGTAATACTTGAACGCTTCCAATCGCTAAAAATCAAGCAGTCTTTTTGAAGAAATGTTGTAAAGAAGAATAAATGTCAATTCAAAAAATTGTTATATGTATTATGCTAATACATACAGGGTTTAACAAAAAGATGTATAGTAAATTTAACCACAGTTTCTGGGGTCGAAAATAAGCCGATTTAAGTTTATATAAAAAAATGTATGGTAAAAACGTTACAGGGTGTTACAAGTTGAAATTTTAGAAGTGATTTTGTGCTCGTACTCTAAAATGGCTTAACATATTGTTATGATAGTCTACATGAGATGTTAGTATACAGTGACCAATAAAATGTAGTGGAATTTAAAATTGTTTTAATTCTATAGGTTTTTAGAAGGGTTCTGCACCGCCTAAAACTCATTTAGAAATAGTATTTTCCAATATAGCGGCCATTTTGAAACCTGACAGAACATTTTCATGAAACACTTCTTAGCCAAAAATGTTCAATACAAATTGGAGTTTTCATTTAAAAATTAAAAATAAATTAGAATTTAATGTTATTTCCAGAAAAACCGGAAGTTCTCCATGACGTCGCAAAATAATTGATTTAGTTATAAAAAAGTCTTACTCCAAACTTTAACAAAAAAAAATCATTCCAATATCTCAATTATGAAGATAAGAAGGGTGGAACTTTTAAGTGACCCACCCTGTAAATCTACAATTTGAGTTTTAATAGTTGTCAAAATGTGGACTCTTTGAATAAGACACTCGTTTACCGTTTTTTTTAACAAAATAAATTTTACACAAAAAAATAATCGAAATGTCCTGGGCTATTATTGATTGATTTTTCTAATAATAACCCAGTACAATTCACATAAAATTAGAAAATTGCCAAATGCTCGATATTGCTAAAAATACTTCTATGCCAATATAATAAAGGCGAATTTCCCAAAAAATGTTTATACAGAGTGGACCACCAGTAACGCTTCGATCTGTGGCGCCAAAACTATTTGATTTTTTAAATTCGTTTTCACAGCAAGGTGTATATCAGGAAAGGCAACAATTTAAAAATAATTTCATTTGTACAGGGGTCTCCAAGAAAGTAATCGGTACATTTCAAAGTTATTTGTTTAAAAGGTGAACTATATCTCGCTGTAAAAACAAATTTAATTTAATTAGTTTTGGTTCTACATACCGAGACGTTATTGGTTGCCTACCCTGTAATCTCGTCAATAAACATTGTGTCTCTGTATTTTTCCAGAATAAGGTCATAACATTTTTATTATGTCAATAAATGACAAATTTATAGATTTGAGGCAATAAATAATGAATAATCCTTGCACAAAACAAAAATAGTTTTAGGATGTATTTTGAGTTTTGAATACCAAAAATTTTTTAAAAGTCGTCTGCAGTTTTTGATATATAAACTTTTGTTTTGCTACAAATATTAATACAGGACCATAAATACTTGTTGAGTTTTGTTGAACAATAGGAGTTTGATAATGATTTTGTCTAATTTTGGTGTAAAATAGTCGAGGGCTTGTTAAGTTTTGGCATCTTCAAGCGATCTGGCGCAATACCTCATTTATTTCAGATGTTGGACTCGTTAATTTTTGCGCGCAAGCTCTTGAATTATATTTGAATATAGAAAACTTTTTAACAACCAAGGAATCGATTGTTTTAAAACGCCCCATCCTTCTTCAGGGTAGTGTATAACTTGTCGTTTTGTTTTTATTGCGCAGGTGACCCTGGAAGAAGAATGCAATGAGGTGACGATCGAAGAGAACGTCAACGAAGTGATGATCGAAGAGGACAGCCACGAACTCGTGGAAGAAGAAGTGGAGGAAGATGATCATCACATCATCGTCAAAACGGAACGATGCTAAATTTTTTCGTAGAAGCATTAAAGATGTTAGAAATATTTATAGTTTGACATTCAAATTATGACGATATGATAATGATTATTATTACTATTATTAATATATGACTATTATTATTAAGTGGATTTGACCTGCAGGGTGTGACTTTCATGACGGCACATACTGTATATAATATTTATTTAAATGGTAGTAGCATTTGTTGTAAACATTAAATTACACTAAAAAGAACAAGTTTTTTTATAACTGTAGGTTCACATTTAAAAAAAAAATTGTTCGGCGAATAAAAGTGCATGATTTTTTTTCCAAAGTTTTTAAAATTTCATATTAGTTTTATAACGAATTTATTTTACGGAAAACTAATGGAAATATAATTCTGGCAGCTGATTTGTTTCTTTAATTAGTACAGTCTTCCTTTAAAATTACACTATATTGAAAAATTGTCGATTGAATAATTATCTACAAAACAATGTTTCATATCATCTGGTCAGTGGTTTTTATTAACCGTTAAATTTTTCTTGCCTACGTCTATTTCTTCTTGTTATATTCCTCAATATCTTGTTCTTCTGCGGACTTTCCTTAGATATTGTTTTTTACTACACCTCTATCTACTTTGAAACTCGTTTTCTGCTTGTTATATCTCTGATTTGCGTGATGACAGATGTGCATGTCAATGACCTAATCGTATGACATCAGTGACCTATTTGTATGGAGTCAATGACTTTCGCATTTTTTAAGATGTTGATATTCCAACAAAATTAGTTAACAAAGCTTCCAAAAAGATAATTTGTTAATAAATATGCTATCAAAAGCTCATTTTGCACTCCCATTGTATATCTACTCCCAAATCTCAACTTTAATCTCGATTATTAATATCGATTTATTTGCATTTAATTGGCCCAATAGTTATTAATCAAAAGGGTAGTTATAATGTTTTGGAAGAACGTTCATGACTAGCAAAAAATTTTAAAGGGGGTTAAATCAGGTAAGCGTGTTGGTTGAAATTTTTGCATTTATTTTAGAACTTATTTCAATTTTGAAAGGTGCTTCAACTTGCCAAATCCTAACGGTATCTAAAATTTCATTGTTTATTAATTTTAGAGAAATTTTCTAAAATTAACAAATTTTTTGATTGAAAAAATAACTGTCAGAATTAAATACCCGTTGATTGTAATAATTATAACTTCTTTTAATTATAATATTTTTAATTTAAATCAAATTCCCGACTAGAAAAATAGATATACAATTTTGTAAATAAATAAAAACAAATATACTACAAAAGTTCGTCCGAAATTTGACATTTTAAACATTTATATTTTATAAATTCAAAAACAGCTGAAAAATTGAAAATCAAAGATACATTTTAACACGTTAAATGCTACGGCTGTTACTCGCTGCTAAACTAGCTTATCTGTCAAAGGTGGTCGCTATTGATTGTCTCATTTTAAAATAACGCATTTTGAAGTTATTAGTAAAAATTTTGGAGTGGTCATAAGTGACCGCCATTGAATTTCTGGTTAGTTTCACATCGGTCACCAACGACCGCCGAAGCACCCCTTTTCGAATAATCGATTAATTTTGAAAATCGATTAAACAATTGATTATTCGATTATAATTAATCGAATCTTTTCAAATAATTGAACATAATTGATTATTGGATTATATTTAAATCGATTCTTTTCGTTTAATCGAGAGATCAATTAGTATTGTCCATTAATCTGTTATTTTCAAATAACGAAAAATCGATTATTTTCGATTAATCGTTAAATTGATTATTTCTGAATAATCAGTTTATCGATTAGAGGATTAATCGATATTTCGATTGTAAATGATTATTAATTAATATCTAATTCAGTTACATATTAATAAGGTTTTATAATATCGAATTATCGATAGCACTGGGCGATCATTGATCATCAAAATAAATAATCAATTATTTTAGATTAATTGAACATAATCGATTATTTTATCGATTAATCGTTAAATTGATTATTTCTGAATAATCAGTTTATCGATTATTAGATTATTTACATATAAGGTATCAAAATAAATAATAGATTAATCGAAAACATAATTTTCATTATTCAATTAATCGATTATTTTAGATTAAATAATCGATTATGGATTTTTTTTAATTATTAGATTAATCGATTATTTAGCTACTAAATTCTCATGGTGTTTTCAGTCATGCAGACGCCCAATATTTTATGTTCTATAATTGTTTAAAATGGTGGCAATTTCAGTGACTAAACATCAACAAATATTAAGACTGTTGATTGGCAGTTTTAATAATGTAATTTATTGGCTTCTTTGTACATTTTTAGCGTGATTATACCCTAATTGTTAGCGTTATTTAGCGATCGTTCTGAATCTATTGTTACTACATTAAAAAAAAATAGTAGGTAGAATTAAGTTTTTTTTGTATTTATTATGTTCCTTGGACATATTGATTTTTTTTTTGTTAGCAATTTACTAAATAAAGATTATTTGGCTTTCATTTATTTGCGAGTTTTATTGTTGGAACCTGTGTAGAATTTTATATAGGGTTGTACCTAATTATGTAATTGGAAGGATTCTGGAAAGTTAAAAAAGGTAAGAGTATTTTTTTAAATTTTATTCAAATTTTCTGCATAAAGATTTGAATTTTTTTAATCATAATAAACCAAACAACTTTTTTGGCGAAATACGCGGATCCATTAATATATTTGTATACCTTGATCAGTGGAAACATCAGAGATACAATAGATGATTTCAACGGAAGACATCTTGAAGTTGCAAGGTCATTGGAAGATCTTTGCATCATCTATAAGTTTACATAACAACTAATAAAATAAAAGAGAAAACTAAATTATTATTTTGGTAATCTATTTAAGGTTACGGCATCGGTATTCATTTTTCCTTTGTCTTCTTCATTATTTGTATGTGCTCAGTTTTTCACCATCTCTATCTACTTAGTGCCCAGTCCCAGAGTCTTCTTTATCTTAGTCATGTGACATGTCAAAATTTGTAAAAACAAAACAAATTGAGGTTACAATATCTGGTTTTGTTTTTGAATTATTTTTTGCATTTATTTTCAAAATACTAGCTTAGAAACAAAGAAAATTATGAAAAGTAAAGTTAAAAGGTAGGTGTGCACCTTTTGTTTACTAATTTAAATTTCAACGTGAATAGATATGTATTTATCATTGTTGGGTAATGCAGCCGACACCCATTAAAAAAGGTTTAATTTAACAAAAATCAGCCATAGAGACCTAACGCGCGCGTACCAAGACATGTAGATCTAGATTCCAGATCTTGGCGATAGTGAGAGTGAAAAATGCAATGAAGAAGGCAAGAAAAAAAGAAGTTTATGCTGACGCCGCCGTAACTTTAGACATTACCAAAATAATAATTTAGTTTTCTTTTGTATTTTATTATAGTTACGTGTGTCTTTTTTTCCACCGGTTTGTTGCAACCGTTGTTTCACCGATGCGGCCTTGAACGTTTTGTGTTGGATTCTGGTTGACCGTTGAAATAGATAACAGTTGACATACCGCACCGATGCCAACGTTGCTGCAACAGTTGGATAAAAAGATACACGTGTTGTTATGCAAACTTATAAATGGCGCAAAGATCTTCCAATGACCTTGCAACTTCAAGATGTCTTCCGTTGAAATCATCTATTGCGTCTGGGTACATGTTTCTACTTTTTAAATGATAATGATCCCAAATATCAAGGATGTCCCAAGTAAGAGTGATAGATTTGAAATGTTAATGTACAGCTTATTAATTGCTGGAGGTTTAATTAATTGTTTTCTTTTACTCAGAAGTTTTATTTCTTCCAAGATTTGAAAGCAGCAGTAAGAAAATACAAAACGTACTAATATCAAAATTGTATTATATAGCAACATTAGTTTGCTGAAATCGGGTCTAGAGCAGAATTGCCAGTGCTATTTCGTTCGCACTAAATCTACTTTATTTTCAAAGTTTCTAGTACGCCCAAATACAATGCCGTGGTCTTACTTGGTTATTGCTACCAAACGTTTCAGCTGCAACTGCGGCAGCCATCTTCAGTGGTGTGGACGAAGTACTTTTTTCGATCAACTGAATCCTCCGAGTGTTGTATTTATATGCGTGTCGTCGCGCTTTTTAATGATGTGTGCCAGATCCTAAATAATGTTTTTTCTTGTCTATTGAAGGTCTTTTCATGTTTGTGTATTTCTATAGCCTCCAAGTGCAATCTGCTCGGTGTTTTCGAAAAGGATCTTGTGTTCTCCGTCGGATAATGTGTGTTCGGCGTAGAGTTGCCATCTGTCCTTTTTTGAAGCAAAATGTCCTTGTGACTTTTTAAAGCTAAAATGTCCTTTTTACGGCAAATGTCTTAGCACATATTTGTCCTATGTATTCTTTTTCACAAGTCCATTGAATTCTGTAGACTCATGTTGATGTGAGGGAATCTCTGCGGTCTTTCGCTGTTTTAAGATATTCCCCCAGTGGCGGGTCTAGGACCTTCGGGACCCGACGCAATAATTTTTTTCGGAGCCCCCCCTTTTCATATTTTTTTTATTAATAAAATTACGGTATTCAAAAGCATAATATATTTTATTAGGAACATTCCAAAGCAAATAAAAAAAAAAACTTCTTTGGCATAGCAGGAATCAAAATAAAATAAAAAAAATATATAAAATTTTGTTAAAGAAAAACTATAATTTATAAATATTTAATCTTCATTTTTTCACTACATCTTGATAGACAATGCTATGTCGATCTATAGTTCATTAGATAACCTGTTGATGCAAAACTTTTCTTTGTCACTAAAACAGGTGCTTTAAGTCTCTTTATTTGCTAACAACGTCTTTGCTTAAGTCTATTGATTTGGTTTCTAACTCATTAGTTTCAGTTTCTGAATTTGTTCGTATTTCTTTTATCGTACTGGCTAGCCGACCGCCAGCGGTACTTGAATTTAATAAAACGAAAACCGTCTTCCGGCGGCATGGTCTTCTCACATATAAGAAAGCCGCCGAAAATCTTAACTGATTTGTTGATAAGGGCGGCAGGCTATCAGAGTATTAATAAGCTACTGTATTTGAAACATTAAATGCCGCCGGAAAAAACTCTCGTATCGGGGACAACACTAATCATTTGTAATTGCTGTGATAGGAGGTATTTGTGTGAATGGGTCTTGTTTGTTTTCATTTACGCCGTGACTTGCAGTATTATTTTATAAACCTTAGAAGCAAATTTCACATACATGAACAAATAATAATAATAATAATGCTGTGACAACAAGAAGACATAGTAACGACTTCTCGTAGGGTGGCGGCTTCGCCGCCACCATAAAATTTCAATCCATAGCTGGCTACGCCGACCGGCATAAACACCAACGGCCTGGACACAACTCAACTACTCTGTCAAAAGGAGACCGATGTACAAATAAAACGCGTACGACATATGATCATTTGCCACAAAAATGTAGACGATTTTACAAGTATTTTTTCTTACCACCGGCATTCAATGTTTTAAATACAGTAGACCGTCGTCCGGCGGCATTTTTCAATTCACTGATAGCATGCCGCCCTGATCAACAAATCAGTTTAGATTTGTGGCGGCTTTCCTGTATGAAGAAGATCATGCCGCCGGAAGACGGTTTTCTTTTCAAAAAATGCAAGCACCGACGGCGGCGGTTGGTTAGCCAGTATGTTCTTTTATAAATAAACTTAAAGAACACAATAAATTGTACCACTCTTGGACATCTACCCAGACAGCACACCAAATCCTTTGGATATCTACTGGACATCCCAATATCCACTGAATGTCCAGTCTAGACAGCTTCGTTGTAAGCACACTATCTTGTTAGACTCAACGATTTCAAAGCATATTGTAATTTTGCAAAATTGCATATAATTTTTCACCTGTGGAGTGAAACAGAAGAATTTCAAAATAGTCAACAAGTTCGGGCAATAAAACAATAAAAAAGAATTGTAGTAGTGTTTTCTGGAAACTTTGCACCCACCTTCGAGGGGCCCGACGCAGAGTGCGTCATCTTAGATACGCCACTGTATTCCCTTATTTTCTTTGTTCTTCTACGTAAGGTAGATAGACAAATAAATCAACCCAGCAAAAATTTTGTGCAGGGTAACAAAAGGCCCAATAACTGTTACCCTCCAATTGTAATGGTGGCCATTTAACTTTTAGTATATAGGTCACTACGGCCGACAGTCGGGCCGAAGTCACTTAGCCATTAAATCCAGTTAATAGGCCTCCATTTTCCCTTTAATGTCCTATATATTTAATGTATTTATAATATATTGGCAATAATGGCCTATTGATGGGAAGCTAACGGGAAATTGCTGGCCTTTTACTATATTAATACTGACTGCTGAATAAAGGCCATGTGTCAAGCACATGACGAGACAGGATATTCGATAGTGCCTCTTCGACCAGTAGTACCGTTTGAACTATAAATTCTGTACAAAAACAGAAGGCATTTCACAATATAGACATTTTATTTAATTCAGCTATAAAATAATACAGAAAAAATGTCTTCTTCAAAAAAGTTATTTATAAAATATTCTAAATTACCATGTAAAATTTATCCAATACAGTTACTTACCCTTCAAAAGGCCATCATCAAGCAACATAATGCTGGGCCACTATCAAAAGGCCAAAAGTAGGCTATCTTTTAATCGTCGCATTCATTTTGCCTTCAATTACAGCCAAAGGCCAGCAATATCCCGGCAATTTGTTTTTTGGGAAAGAACTGTTTGTAGTTTGTTATACGTTCATATTTTGCTTAAAGGCACGTCCCAACTTCTGTAACTTTGAAACGCAAATTTGGGATTTCGATTTAGTTGAAAATGTGCACACTGATAGAAAATACCTCGTACATTCCAAAAATTAAATTATCTCTTTGATATGTCAATCCGTTTTCAAATTATTGATGAAAATGTATATTGTTGGAATTTTTATAGGAAAATGAGTTCTTTTTGTCAGAAAATAATAGACTAAAGTAAAAATTAATAAAATATATTTTAAACATTTGTATACAATTAGAAAATATTTTAACACATAATATATTATTGCACATTGACATATTTAATTGCAATATCGTTAAAAAAAAAACATGTAAATATAATATAGTTTTGTTTATAAGTAGATTTTCACTGGTATATTTACGTTATCATCTCTTTATAAGAGAGCATTTTACTTCTTAATATCTTGATTTAATCTTACCAAAATGGCTATATAAAATATCTAATACATAACTCTTCATATTAAATGCAACATAGCATTAAAAAAATATTTTTTTCATTTTTGGAAATATTCCAAATCTAATAATCCGTTTATTTATTAATAAATTCTGATTCTATAAAACGATTTCCAAAATTAAACATGCGAATATTCTTCCAACAACGATTCTCCATATTTAACGACAATATAATCGTGGTAATACATCATAATACATAAAGGTTGTCCCAAAATGATCGAAGACCAAAACACCAAATTTCCGAATCGCTGCCCATAAGCTTTTTCCACGACTTTGGAAAAGTACGACAACGGAATTTGAGCCATCATGCCGCCGAAAGCCCAAATTTTGTACGTCTTTAGAGGAACGCTAACCTAAAAAAGAATAATAAAAATAATGAGCGTTCCAGCCAGTGTTAATAAAATTAATCACAGGAAAATTATTGAGCAGTCCTCGTAGCAACGATTTGTACCGGGCGAGATCGTTAATATTTATCCTTTCAGACAAAAAATGTATATTACAAGTCAAAGTTAAAATACTACAAACATTAAACACATAAATAAGACAAAAAGAAACAAATAATATTTAGACAAATAAGTGTTAGACAAAATGACAGAAACAAGGTATTTTTTTTTAGTTGTAGAAGTTAATATATAATATAATATCGCTTTTCCAACAGTAACTGCTTCATAAATCTCTTAAATTTGTTCAGACACATCTTTATAAAATTATTAGGAATATGGTTGTAGAGTTTTAGGCCCATATATTTAGGATCATTTTCAAACTCACAACTTACCATGTATTCGTGGAAAAACGCGCTAATGAAAAACACAGCGACACTGGCTATGGACTTGCTGTAACCCATTTCGATCATGGGGAAATAAAGATGACGCAACGCCCATCTGTGGACGGGCAAATTCCAATTCCTCCAAAAAGTGTCAATGTTGTTGGCGTTCCACCAGTCGCCGTAAAAACTTCTATCGGCAAAATGCAAAATTTCACCGAGCAGATTCAACCAGGAGTGGAACATGATGTAGAACATGCACAGCCAAGCCAAGTGATTGGGGATCTGAAAATAATAGTATCGTTATGATCAAATGTACTTAAATATATTGATTGATCCTTGTATATTACAAAAAATATTTGATCCGTTATAGTGTATGTGTTAATATACAGGGTCATTCTATATGGGCGGAACACTTGATTTATGGCTTAACTATGATTTGTATGATAATTTTACTTAAATAAAAGTTTTTGTACATTTTATGTACTATTTATTGACGTTTACAGATTTCCCGCATACGTAATTATTTTCAAGATATGACGTCATCGGGCAATATCTTAAATGGATCACCCTGTATTTATATTTTTTAGAGTTCGTATGATCTGTCTGATTTCATCAATGGTACATTAAGTGGGTCCCAGACTTACGGTCTTATCAATAACAATTAAATTAGATTATACTTTAAGAAGTCACATTTTAAATGGATCACCCTGTATTTATATTTTTTTTTTCTGTTTCCTGGCAATATCATGATCTATTAACAAAAAAACTTAACGTCAAATCACAGTAAATACAAATATCTTTAGTGTACAGATTAAGTATTTGATTATTATTACTAACCATGGAACTAAGTGAACGTGAAAGAATTACTCTGTTGATGATGGTTGGTTTTGGAGATAGAAAGAGAGGTTTACAAGAAGCTGGCGATTTGTTTAATGCTACATTTCCTGACAGAATGTCTCTAATTCACATGCTTTGATTTTCCTTTACTATACGGAGAATGGTCGCACTGCGCAGCTTTCTGAGTGCCTTTTAAAAGGAGATAGAAAACTCCGCCATTTTGAACCCTTATTACGTGTTGCCTACATCTTGGCGCAATATTTTTAATAGGTGCGTTTTAATCATACGCTTCTGCTTCGGAATTGTCGGTTTTCTTGTTTTAATCTGATAGGTTAAAAAGACTAAACCGACAATTCCGGAAGCAGAAGCGGATGATTAAAATTAATTAATTTAAAATATCTTTTAAAAAACACCGCTTAAATGTAGTAAAGTGTGTAAATATATTAATGTGTCCTTGTATATTGTGGAAAAATTTGTTTGGTCCATTACAGTTTAAAATATTCTTAAAAGGCGCCGTTTCAAGGTAATAAAGTGTGTAAATATATTATTGGCTCCTCGTATATTGGGAAAAAAATTTATTTATGGCTTCACAAGACCATTATAAGCTATTAATAAGTCGTCTTATTTATGGCTTATTTAAGGCTTATTTAAAGCTTCACAAGGCCATTATAAGCCATTAATAAGACGTCTTATTTATGGCTTTACAAGACCATTATGAGCTATTAATAAGTCGTCTTAAAGACGTCTTATTTATGGCTTATTTTAAGCTCTACAGACCAATATAAGCTATTAATAAGACGTCTTAAAGACGTCGCTTTTTGTAACATCAGACGTCTTCTAAGACGTCTTTCAGGAAATACCAGACGTCTCAAAGACGTCTCGAATGTCTTATGCTAGACGTCTTTGTGCTATCTGGGGGGGGGGGGGGGGGGGGGGGGGGGGTAAATATATTAATGGATCCTCGTATAATATGCAAAAATTTGTTTGATGCATTATGGTTCAAAATATCTCAAGAAGCGCATTTTCAAGATATTAAGTTTAGTAAATATATTAATGGATCCTCGTATATGAAAAAATTTGTTTGGTCCATTATAGTTTAAAATATCTTGAGTATAACTAAATATATTACTATGCAGAAATTTTTTTGGTCCATTATGGTTTAAAAATCTAGAAAAAAAATTATCTGGTTCCAAATACAAATTATGCAGCCAAATCGCATTTTAAAAGAATTCTTACAACATATTTTTCAAAAATGTTTCGTATAGGCCCGCTCGGCTGTTTTTTATTTTTATTTTATCAAGTAATCCTGGAAGTGGCATTATTAGGATAGGCTACAGGTGTCATATACCTCTGACAAAATAAATACGAATATTTGGTCGAATACGACCGCCGTGACAAATGAAAAAAATACCACGTGGACGTATTCGACCACCGTAGCAGTTAACCTGTTAAGGTGCGTAAATTTATTAATGAATCCTCGTATATTGTTTAAAAAAATGTTTGGTCCATAATAGTTCCTAATAAAAAGGTATCAAAAATATGCACTTACAGCCAATTTCAACAGCCTTTCAGTACTCTTGGTGTAATCCATGTTACTGAACGGTATTAAAGAATTCTTTATGGTCGGTATCATGTACTGCTGCATTATGCAAAAGATCAGTTGCACCCCTAAAACCACTTCAAATATTCTCTTCATAAGGAAGCGTTTTCTTATCCTGTCTGTTTTGGGGAAATTCAATTCGTAGCACAGAGTGGGAGCCAGTAAGTAATAGTAAAGATCTCTTAGGGTCAAATTGTCGGGATATTGGACGAGTTTTAGGTCTTCCATGGATTCTTCTTGACTGTTTTTACTGTCTGAAATAAGAACATATTTGTTTTGAGCATTCGTTGCAAAAAATACTGAGCGAACCTGGTATAATCAATTATATATAAGGTGAGATCAATATATAACGTAAAAACAAAAAGTTTATAAATCAAATCTTACTTTTCCTTTTTCTCAAATTACTATAAGACAATGATTGCCTTCTCAAACTGCCTTTGCTGTTTTGCCTAGCGATTCTACACCACAAGTTTACTTGCACGTAGGACCACAATTTCAAGAACAGCACGCTGTACAGGGTGGTTACGGTTGACGCGCCCACTAAAAATTCAAATCAGTTCATCAAAATATACAAAAACTTATTTACAAGAAAAATATTATTACTTAAACTGAACCCGTCTTTTACGTGAATTACAGCCATCGGAAGTAGAATTAGCACTAAAAGATTTATTATGTGTACAAACATTCCAGCCTTATTTGGTATTATTTCCTAAAAAAAGTAGAGGTTGTTAAATAAAATGTTATTTTTGTGGTTTTGTTATTGACAACTTACCACAGCCAAACCCTTTTCAGTTAAAAGGCACAAAATTACAGGCACACATGAATCTGAAATCAAACATAAATTAATCCATGATCAAGTAGACTTCTTTTTGTAATTTGAACATGTGATTCATTTTGTGTAGCTTATAAGTGAAGAACGAACAAGATAGTGATGACTTCACTGAATTTATGTCATGAAACTTTGTGTTAGAATTTATTCTAGAAACTGAAAAAAATGTGTCTGCTAAAAAAATAGAAAAACACGCGTGCTTCTATTTTAACTGGGTCACCCAGTGTCGGTTGGTGGATAAGTGCTGCGCAATGCTGCAGAGCTCAAAAAAAAAAAAATGCTAAATGCATAATCTAACTCAAATATTTTCTATTACCAAAAAGAAAATGTATAAATTATATTCACATTGTAATAATGTTTAAAAATAACTGCTGGCGAAGCGCCGGCATCGCTGGCGACCGTGTACGTAAAGTCGACCAGTGGAATAACCTACCTACCTATCTACCGACACACACGCTTGCAGAGGCTGTCGCTAAACTATTATTTATCTAGGCCACATGATGAAGCTCTGTGCGCTCTTTCAAACACCCGCGCGGCACTCCGCTACCCCCGCGCCCATGGTTAAAACAAACCGGTGATTTAAGTGGAGAGTCCGCTGCAATTAGTCCAGCGCGTAATACTTACGGTGTGTTTGTTTCGAATTTTTTCGCGACTTTTGAGTTTAGGACGAGTTAAATTTAAAAACAGTAATTTTAAGGGTGCTTGTATTGTTTTTTGTGTATTGCTGACAATTATCTGTGTACTATGGAAGTGGTCTTCAATTTAATTAACGTAAATAAATTTTTTAAATATACATGCGAAGAAAAGATGGAATTAAAAGCAAAAGGTAGGCCATTACCAGATATAATTATAGAAAAAACTGGTGTAAGTAGACGAAAAAGTTACACACGAAAATGTAATAGATATTTATTCAAAAGACGAATAGATCTGTGGATGCAACAAAAAAATGCTCTGTACCGTTTCCCCTGTTTACTTTTTGGTGGCGATAAAGCTTGGACGGAAAATAGGGGTCACCGATAGAGGACACTTAAGTTTAAAGATAAAAAACACGAAAACTCTAAAAGCCATCTTCATAATTGCATGGAATTTGCGTTGCTAGGGACAAGTAATACACTAGCGAGCAAAAAATTGAGGTCACTTCAGAAATTGCCAATAATTTTAGCGTCAATATTGATAAGGGCATAATAGTATTAGTAGGCGTTGAAGCAATTGTTTTCCGAGACTTGACAGCTGTCATTCGATTTATTAGAATACAACTTTTATGAAAAATGTGCCTTTACGCTAATTGAACATTCACATTTCCCTTGCCTGTTTTCCAGTTTACTGTTGATTCTTTGTGTAAAACCTAACGATTGCAAAGTGTAGTGATTTAACAGCCCCATAATGCCTTTAGATCCGATTGTTGTGGCAAGAATTGTTAATTGTTACAAGATGGTCGGGGGCAACGTGAAACTGCAAGAATTGTTGGTGCTAGTCTTTGTGGTGTGCAAAGGGTGTACCAGCGCTTTCTGGAGACTGGCCTGATCACTAGAAGACCAGGGTCTGGGCGAAAAAGAGTTACCACTCAACGAGATGACCGTTTTTTGGTGTCCACAATAGGACAGCTACTGCGGTTTCACTGCGAAATCAGTTGGAAGAAGTGAGAAATGTCAACGTTAGTGAATGGACCGTTAGAAGAAGACTTCATGCTGCTGGACTGTCATGCAGAAGAATGGCTAAAGGTCCCCCGTTGCAACGCCAGCATCGGACTGCAAGATTGGCATTTGCCAGAGATCACGTTCGTTGGAATGATGATGACTGGAGCTAGGTATTGTTCTCAGATGAGTCGCGTTTTTGCCTCACTGGGTCAGATGGACGTCGACGAGTGTGGAGAAGACCTGGGGGAAGATATGCTGAAGTTTGCATTGACGAGCTTCTTCCATTTGGCGGTGGGTCAGTTATGGTTTGGGCGGAAATCACTGCACAAGCTCGTACAGGGTTGGTGTTCATAGAAAATGGCTCCCTAACCTCTCACAGCTACATTACGGAGGTGCTAGAAGACCATGTTATGCCTTTCATGGTGACTATGGGGTAACGTGGCATTTTTATGGAAGATAATGCGAGACCACATACAACCAGAATTGAATGAGGTAGAAATTATGCGGTTTGACTGGCCAGCCTGCAGCCCAGACATGAATCCCATAGAACATGTCTGGGACGAGTTGGGACGACGGATCCGCAGACACACACCAGCACCAAAAACTGCCCAGGAACTGAGAAGATTGATGTTGCAGGAATGGGATAACATAGACCAGAATGTGATCCGCAACTTAATTCAAAGTATGCCGCGCCGACTTCAAGCAGTCATCAATGCAAGAGGAGGGAATACACGTTATTAGTGTCAAGTATTTTCATTTTGTTCGTTCCATATTTTCCCTAACAACAAAATGTTGAATTTCGCCCAAAATGTTAATTTGTTGCTTTTTCAGAATAAATCATGAAATCCAAGAAAAAATGCATTTCTGTTTAGTATAGAGTATCACTGTCTGTTATTTATTCAAGAAATGATTGCAGGTCATTGAATGGCGCACTACCTCTACTAAAATTTTTAATATCAAACAATCTAGGAGATACGTTAAAGGAGACTAGAGAATTATTAGAAATTGTGGTAACAACTCCTATGACAACATCAGAGGTCGAAAGATGTTTCTCAACACTAAATCGAATCAAAACGTTTCTTAGAAATTCAATGACCGAGGATTCTTTTTTTTTTGTGTAGCAATCGTTCCAGCAATCCATCATTCAGCAAGCACAATAAAATCGATGGGACTTTGACTAAGAAGACACCCCCTTGAAAGGTAAGCTTTTTTTGCAAAAATTGCAGAACACCCTAAAATTTTTACTACGAGCCGCCACTGGGTTACTCTGTATATTTTTTACTGTTCATTAATAAAAAATTCTGAATGAGTTTATCCAAAATGTAATATTCACTGATTAGATTGTTAAATTAATTGTTTTATATAAGGTACTTGAAACATAATACGAAAGTAATTTTGATTTTTCAATTTTCTATAAGCTAATTTTTCTAATTATCTTTTTTACTAGATGCACAAATAAATTTGTAAATACAAATATTTACTCTTCTTTAGTATTTTTAATTTCTCTCAGCTATTTTTTTAATTCTAATTTTTACTAGATGCACAAAATGAGTCACATCAACGATTTTCAAAAAAAAAAAAATAAATAAAAATACTAACATAATATTAAAACTATAGACGGGTGTTCAGAACCGGAGTCATCCTGTCCAGTTAACATATAGAACCACTGGATCGGATCTATTCTTATTCCGTATCTGCAATAAACATGCAATTAAAAAAAAAATACATAAATTCGCTATTATTATCCAACCATTATATTTGAAACAAAAATAGAAAACGATTAATTTAGCAATTAACTTTTGATATTGTTGTTTTCGTTATGCATAAAAAATTAATGGTACAGCATGCATTAGTATTATTACCGGTTTTATTTCCTTTCACATTTTTTTATATCCCATACAAACTAGGTATGAATAGTTGCAATCTTTTAAATAATAAGTATGTTTCAACTGCTTAGAAATTATTTTCTTGATCAAATTGAAGGTAGCTACATTCATTATAATAAGCATAAATAAGTAAATCGTCCTACAGTGTTGCCAGATTTTTATTACGCCTACCGTATCATTACTTTTTAGCAAAACATTAAAAAGTTCCTGTATGAACTATAATCCAATTTATGTCATACAATTTTATCGTTTTATATTATTATCAATCATATATTGTTTGTGATCGAACTTACTTTATGAAATTTTCTAGCAGAAGTCGAACGCCTCCTATAGAAAGTAACAAAAATGCCCAATTCACGAAACCCGTGAAATCATCGAATCCCGAAGTCCAGGAAAATAAAGAGTCTCTCGGTTTGTGACATCTAAAACAATAATACATAAACTTTACATGTATAATAAATTAATCAAAACGCATATTGTTCAGTAAAAGTTGTTGAGGAAAATACTGAGTGATCCTCGTATGAATAAAAATGTATATCGTCTGCACATATGGAAATTATTTTTATTATTTAGTTTTTAATATAAATTGATGATCTTTTCTGTCGAATTGCTATGTCATATTTGACATATTTGTCAACAAAATTACAATAATTTCGTAAAAAGTTAAATTGAAAAACGTTTAAAATTCACTTTATTTTTATCATAGAACAAAATGGCATTTTATTTAAGAAGTTCCATAAATCTGAATTTTCCAATCGAAAGTTTAAGAAATAACCTACGGAATGTTGACTTAAAATCTATGCCATATTTTTAGGCTATTTTAAGGCTATTTTTATACCCTATTTAAAAAATTTATGCTTCTCGTTTTTTTTTACAAAATTACCAAATTACCTAACCTGTGCAATCAGTTAAAGTTAAATTGCTCCAGGCCACACAGGTTAGGTAACTTAGTTTTTTTTTTAATTTTTCTCTTTCTTGCATATATTTTTTTGAGTAGCAACCCTCCAGGGCTCCAGGCCGCACAGGTTAGGTAAATTAGTTAAGATTTTTTAAACATTTTCTACAATTTTTTTCGAGGCAAACTACGACGGCTCCAGGCCGCACAGGTTAGGTAAATTAATCAAATTTTTTATAATAAAAAAAAAAACTTAACTAGCTTACCTAACTTGTGCGAGAGCAATCAGTTAAATTTAAATAGCACAGGTTAGGTAAATTAGTTAAGTTTTTTTTGTTTTCTAATTTTTTAAGTATTTTTTTTTCTCAGACTGGACATATTAGATAAGTTAAATAAGTTTTTTAGAGCTATTGTCTTTTCGATAAAATGATATTTGATAAAATATATCTTACATCAAATGTTTTTTGATCAATTTTGTGCCATCCAAAAATGTGGTGTGGTTGTTTTTAGAAAAAAGCTTTAAAAAACCGAGGTGTTCTGTTGATTTCTTTCGAAGCTAGAAAATCACCCTGTATTTTTTAAAAATAACAATTTTTTTCGAAAAGTTTTATAATATTTTAAGAGCCTAAAAATGTGGTATGGTTATTTTTAGAAAAACGTTTTTAAAAACCGAGGTGCTCTGCTGGATTCGTTCAAAGTTAACAAAGAACCCTGTATTTAAAAAAATAATACTAATTTTTTTGAAAATGTTTATATTTTAAGAGCCTAAAAATATGGCGTTGTTGTTTTTGGTAAAAAAATTTAAAAACCTGAGGTACTCTGCTGACTTCGTTGGCATAACCTAAACTATTGTAATTTTTGAAAATATGTCAAATTTGACAGGGATAATCACTTTATAGACATAAAAAATCGTCATTTTTTTATTATTTTTAAAGCAAAAACCGTTCATAAACTGTAAATGTAAATAAATAATAAAAAAACTATGATGACAATGTATAAGCAGGGTTGACAGGTACAGGTTTGATCCTAGGTTTTTTTTTTAGGTTTTCAAAAACCTAGGAGTGAAAATTCTGCAATTTTAGGATTTTAGGTTTTTTAAAGAAAAATATTAAGAATATAAAATTTTATTAATCAACTCTGCAACAAATGCAAATATTTTATCAATATACCACTGTAACTCCTTGATATTGATTTAATGATAGTGAAAATTAAAAAAATATATATATTTATTTTTAATTTTTTTTGTTTGCAAAATGTTATTTAATATAATAAAACTCTATTTTTCAGGTTTTGCTTGTATTTTTTGTTTAACCTTATTAATAATTTTTGACATATATGAACTAAAAACCTTAAAAACCTAAAAACTTATTTATATATTTTTTAATTCTTAGGATTTTCCAACCCTGTGTATAAGACGAGTTCAATATATAATTTACCAATGTTCTTATATAACGCTTTAATTTGAAAATATGAATGAAACCTCTTATACTATTTTAAACCTACAATTATTGTCCTTATCAATTAATTATCTGAGTTAAATTTAGAAAATTATCAGAATTTTTTATCTATAAATGACATTACAACAATTTACAATATTTATTGGAATCAAAGAAGTTCATTATTAATAAAATATCTAGATGTATAAAATGTATATTTACATATTTGTAAAAAACAAAAACAGAAGTATATCAGTAAAGAATGAAGAATTCTAAAAACAAACGTATACAGGGTGTTCCTCAATGATACGCGAATATTTAAGTGTGTGAAATTACATTAAAATTTAATGGTAGTTTAATTTATAAACTATAGTTCAAAAATGTTGCTTCATGAAAATACGGGGTGTTAAATTTTTAGGAAAAAAAGAATTTTAAGAAATATATAAAAATAAAAACAGTTTAACATTTTCACTCCCAATATGGATATGAAAACTGTATTTAATGATTGAATTAATTCTGTGATCTTAGGACTCCAGATAATAGTTGTTTGCTCTTTTTTCTTGTTTTATTTCAAAGTTATTCCAAAAGAATTACTTTTTACATTGGAATTTTTTAATTTAATTTCTAATTTATACTTTTTCCCAATATTTGATTGCAAATGTTAGTTTCAATTTATTTACCTATAAGAGCGATGAATCTATACAACATCCTATAATTTTTTGGATTCAATAAACAATAAATTGATATACCAAAGAAGACAGCAGAGCACCTAGGGAATTTTGCGTTGAAACCTGTGCCATATTTTTATGCTATTTTAAGGTTATTTATATACCCTATTCAAAAATTTTATGCTCTTCGTTTTTTGCAAAAATTAAAGAGCTCTGTTAGCTTCGAACAAAGTCAGCAGAGCACCTCAGTTGTTTTAAGTTTTTTTCCAAAAACAACAACACCATATTTTTAGAAAATATTATAAAACTTTTCGAAAAAAAAATTGGTATTTTTAAAAAATACAGGGTAATCTTATTTGATAACATGTGTTATGGCTATGAAATCGGTGTTTATAGAGCAGGTATTTTACGAATTTACGTTGCACTCTTTCAATTCTACTGATATGTGTAAGTAGGTTGCCAAATAACAGAACAATATTCCAGGACACTTCTCACCAGGCCATTGTAAAATGTCGTGATTGCTTTTGTGACATTCACGTATCTAGTATGTCTCTTGATGAAGCCAAGCATTCTGAGGGCTTTGCATACTATGGAATCTATATGGTTGTTAAAAGATATTGTGGTATCAAAAATAATGCCCAGATCAATAACTGTCAAGGATCTATCTAGGTTGACACTGTCAATACGAGTAGCATTGTTGGATCTTGTAAAATGCATGGTTGTGCACTTAGAAATATTTATATAAAGAGTGTTATTTTTACACCAGGTAGCAAACCTGTTTAGGTCAGACTGTAATGCGGAGTTATTACCAGTGTTTCTACTAAAAAACTTTAAATCATCTGCGAAAGGAAGGCATTGGCTAATAAGAAAGCAGGACGTAACATCATTAAAAAATAAGGAAAACAATAGGGGACCTATATGTGAACCTTGAGGAACACTGGATAGGACTGAAACATCACATAATACGGAATTATGCACTATGACACGTTGACCCGATTACTCAAATAAGATTTAATTCAGTAAAAATAAGAACCAGAGATACCGATTTCGGAGAGTTTTTTGAGTAGCAAATCATGACAGACACTGTCAAAAGCTTTTGACAGATCGGTGTAGATGGTGTCAACCTGGTAACCATTTTCAATTGAAGAAATTAAGAAGTCTTGATAGATTTCCAGATTAGTTGATATCCAGCGACCTTGATGATAGAAGCCATGTTGAGGTGAGAGAGGTTTAATATGTGTAAAACATTTCATCTGTTAGTACGGATTCAAATTATTACCTATCGATATTTGCCGCGTTTGAGAATCCACATCGGATGCATTTTTTACATCTCGAGCGTTTTTTTATCCACATCGGACACATCTGTCCCATTACATTTACGTATACTGAATCACGTGATCAAAGATTTTTTACATCTCAGATGCATACGATGTGGATTCTCAAACGTGCGGCAATAATGGAAATACCTCTATATTGCTTTTATCCCCTTTCTTGTAAACTGGCATAAGGTGGGAAAACTTTCAAGCAGATGGAAATATTCCACTATCAAATGATTTTTGGAAAATTTGGCTAAGTGGGATTGACATGGAGTCACAGCACCCCTGCAAGAACGATGGTGGTACCCCATCAGGGCCCGCAATTTTACTAGAGTCAAGACTTTTTATTTTAGAAGACACTTCACAAAGAATGAAAGTGTGTATGGCTAAAGTGGAATAAAATGGCAAAGCGGGAAGATCAATTTTTCGGTTAAGTCGTCTTTAGAATGGCACGTTTGGAAATAAGATGCGAAGGCGTTTGCAATTTATTCAGGATCACTGAGTTCATAGTTTCCGTACTTCATTAAATTAGGCAATCCGTACTATCACTGCAAACTTTTAATAAATGTCCAAAAATGTTTTATGTTTTGTGGAATTAAGTGCTCCGAGTTCGAAATAAACATTAAGTAACACCAGTCAGATCAAAATTTTACTTCGCGCCTTTTAATGGAGTATTTAATGTAATTACTTTGAAGCTTAGTCCTCTGATATATTTGACGGAGCTTATTCTTTTCAACAATCAATTTGCATTTGCTTAATACAGCGTCAAACCACACAGGATATTTGTTACCTCTTATCTTCTTCTTTGGGACATATTGGTCAATACCTATTTCTATGTTAGAAAATTGTTTTACAATTTCGTTGATTTCATGATAATGAGTTACGAATGACCAGTCAGTGTTTATAAAGAAATTGTTTAGACCAGTGAAGTTGGCTTTATAGAACTGATGTACATTAACTGATTTATCAAGCACACTGTACCTATTTAAAAAATAGCAATTTTTATCAAAAAAGCTTTATAATATATCAAGAGCCAAAATATAACCTAAAAACGTGGCAGTCGTTAAAAAAAAAAACTTAAAAACCTAGGTGCTCTGCTGGCTTCCT